GAGATATACCTTTTACTGTGGAAGTTCACTTGCTTCTCTTGCAGAGTTTAGTTTTTAAGCGTTTCCCATCATGCAGTTAAAACTAAATTTACTTGAATTTGCTCGATTGCCCCTGATGTCGATTTAATTGAAATACGAGCCAGTGCCCGAAACAATTATCTTCTCCCTTCCTTGTCAATTGCCTTTCCTGCCAGATAACCACTTCTATAGAGTAGACTCCTCTCTGTCGCGGGGAAGAGCAGCTAGGCTTTGTTTGCTGCTCAAAATTGGCAATTTGCTGCCTCAATTGGATCTAAATTAATCTGCCGTCTGGGAATCTCGTTATCTGTTGTGTTGCTTAAATCATATTAAATTAGCACCAAGCTAAAAAGATAATGGCCAGGGATTGGTTCAATTGACTACTATTTTTTCCATATGATGGGAGCGACTTTGCGGAGGCAGAAGTTGACTCATTACACTATGTAACAAAATTTGGGGGAAAAATATGTTCCTGGTTTGAAAGTGTTATTTCCTGTTTAATTGTGCCGTCCTTACTTTGAAAGTAGTTGTTATATTCCAGAAACTTTGTTGATTTTGTGGCTGCCACAAACTATGTCGAATTGGTTGAGATTCTGTAAGATAGTCATTGAAAAACTAGACCAAGACGTGCTGCAGGATGTCCCTCCTGCAAAGACAAAATTTTGGCAGTTTAACAAACTTTCCCCATGTTCTTTTGATAGAAACAATTAGGAAATTGTATTTATAACCCAGGAGCAAAAATCGTGTTTCATAGTATTATGGGAAGCGATCTGTATTTTCATCTTGTGAATGATTTTTCAATGTACTTACTTACTTACTTACTAGGTGATCCCTCGTAGTCCAAGTATGATAGTCCTCCAAGCTTGTGTCGGTGGGTCCATAGGTGACTGTGGAGCCCAATTCTTGATCTGCATCTTCTCCCACAGTGAGGGCATTGGTTTCCAGGTGGAAGGCGGTCCCGGTCGGGGTTGGCTTGATGCGCCTTCCTCTTGGCACATTTCTCTCTTTCATCCTCCATTCGTGCCTCTTCAAATTCCACAGCACTGCTGGTCACAGCTGACCTACAGCTGGAGTGTGCTGTCGCACGCTGGGCCTGTGCATAAGACTGTAGACAGGACATAAATTCTGTGTGCCCAACGGGACGCCGGGGCTGCCTCAGATTAAAGGCCTTTGGATTTCCTTAAACAGAGTCTTTAGATTGCTTAAAGGTTCAACAAAGTTCTTTATTAATGAAAACAAACAGGTACTTTAAGGCTTTCTTAACAGTCTATTGGCTCTCTCTCAATCTTGTCCACAGGGAACAGGCACTATCTTCATAACTGTAACTAATGGGGAAATCCTTATCTTCTAATCTGGGCAGTCTGTCTTTGCCTCTGATGGCATGGTGCCCCTACACCCGGTACCAACTGCTTCTGGCTTCCGCGAGTGACCCTTACCAAGCAGAGCTTTGTAGACTTCCAAGGGAAAAGGAGTTCAGGTTTCAGTGATGGCTGGCTGAAGTCCCTCAGCGAAGGAGCCAAGCTGTGGGCTGCATATCTCCCCGGCCAAGCTGTAGAAGACGAAGCTTTCTACAGGAGCTCTTGGTATTATGTCCTGCATGGAAAGCTTCTCTGTGTGGACTGAACTCAAACTGGCTCCTATTCCCTCCAAAACCCAAAAAGGGGGCGGGACCAGGGAACCTAATGATAATTGACAGGTGGCTTGCCCTATGATTGCAGCCAAAAGATGCCACCTATCTGCAGAGTCCCTGAAACTTAGGACTACAAAAAACATTCAATGCAAAGCAAACAAAATTGGAGCTCCTGGTACAGCTGTACCTCCACATGGAGAGCTCAAGGGCCAAGGCTTCCCAGTTCTCAGTGTCTATGCCAGAGTTTTTAAGGTTGGCTTTAACCCTATATCTGAGAATACAGGGCTGATGTGGCCCTCCATGTAAAGGAGTTTGACAGCCCTGCTATAACCAAACATGCAGATCACATAACTCCAATTTTGCATTAACTGATTATAATTCACTTATGGGCCCAAGTCATCGTTCTGGAAGGAATGCATACTACAGTTTTGGCTGTACATTACAGAAAGGACAATCTCAACCAATATCATTTATTTATTTATTTATTTATTTATTTTAAAAAATTGTATACTGGACTTCTCACCTCTATTGAGGGACTCAGGCCTGTTTCCAACAACAATCTCACAGACAATCAATAAAACATCATATTTCATATTACAACAGAACATTAAAACAGCAAATACAATCAAGAACTACAATGGTCAGTCGTCACACTAAAATCGTTGTTCAACATCATCCACCCATATCTCAGGGTGTTAGCTCACTCATCGAATGCCTGTTTCCATAACCAAGTTTTCACCTGTTTTCACCTGTTTCCTAAACGTCAAGATAGAAGGGGCGGTTCTGATCTCCAGTGGGAGACAGTTCCAGAGCTGAGGGGCCACCACCGAGAAGGCCCTGTCCCTCATCCCCACCAGGCATGCTTGTGAGACTGGTGGGACCGAGAGCAGGGCCTCTCCAGATGATCTTAACAATCTTGACGGTTCATAGGGGAGAATACGTTCGGAGAGGTAAACTGGGTCGGAGTCGTTTGAACCTTAGCAAGTCATTAGTCGGAATTGTACATCTGCAAGAAGGCTGGGGAGGTGGGAGAACCTTATGGTATTAATAGTAATTATAATGCAGGTTGAGGCAGAGTACAGTTAAAACAGATAGACAAACTATGACAATATTATTAAAATACATATAGCAAAAGACACACAAGATCAAAGATTGTCACCAATAAAATGCAGATTAAATTCACAGGTTTAGTAGTCATCTGGCGAGTGTCCAATTTCCTCTTGTAGAAGATACAGTGGACTCTAAGTTAATTAGAACTCAAGTAATGGGACTTCTTAAGAAACCAGCCAAAATCAAAGAAACAATACTGTTTATAATAAGTAAAACTACAGTGTTATATTAAGTTTCACTTTATTTGCCTTACTTTGCTTTTAAGGGGCTGTGGTAGCATAACAGGTTAAACCACTGACCGGAAGGTTGGCAGTTCAAAGCTGTGAGTCTAGGTGAGCTCTCGACTGTGAGCCCTAGCTCCTGCCAACCTAGCAATTTGAAAGCATGCAATGCAAGATCAATGGTCTTTGGAAAAGGAGCTGTGCTGGTACAGCTGTACCAGAAGCTCCAACTTTATTTGCTTTGTATTAAGTGTTTGCTTGCAGCCCAAGGCTTGGGATTCTGCAGAAAGGTGGCTTCCTGTTAAAGTTTGCAGTTATAGGGCAGGCCCCCTGTCCATCATCGTTAAGTTTGGTTCCGCCCCCTGTTCAGGACAATTGAGAAGGGAAGGGAGCCATTTTCAGTCAGTCTCGGCAAGGAAAGTCAATGTACAGGACGTGTACAGACTTCTCCTGTACAAAGGCTTCAACCCTTAAGACCTCCCGGGGAGAACAGTCTTAAGAGCAAAAGGATTCCCAAAGATTCCCAGGGAAAACAGCCCTAAAGCTCTGAGGAATTTCAGAGGGAAAACAGCTTTGAACATCTAAGAACTCCAGCTGAAGTGACTACAGGCCTACTGGTAGGTCCACTTGGTGCTTTGAGACGCAGATCAACCTGGTAGTGGAGCCCACATCAGTTAGGTTTAGGATCACAGTTAGCCTGGGAGAACTTTGGAAAGGGATTTTCCTTTAGAGTAAAAGTAGCAGTTAGAAGCCATCAGTTGCACAAAAGCCTGGAAGCATTTGTATAACCTTTTGAAAACAAAAGAAGTTTCTGTTGATTGTTCACCAATAAAAGACTTTGTTATATTTTACAAGCCCTCTAGAGACTGTTTATGGTGAAAATCCTTAAGAATTTCTCTTCGGGCCCCCTGGCTTCCCGCTGGGCTAAAGTTGCACGTCCTGTTTTAAAAGCAATTCGTTTCAAGCCCAGCGTGCAACAGAACAGGAGCTAATAGGAAGTTATTGGTGTTTTATGCTTTTAATGCTTTTTACAAGGTTTTTATAATGTGTGTTAATTGATATTAATTTTGTTTATATTCATTGTGGCATCAAATTGTGCCAGTGCAAGCCGCCCTGAGGAAGGCAGCATAGAAATGCAATAAATAAACAAAATAAATAGGTACCACCTCGACGGGAAAGTAAAACGGCAAACCCCATGAAGATATGCAGACATGCTGGCAACACATTCGAAGATGTCCATGGACAATAGGCTCCTCGGCATGGAAAAATAGAACAACAGCTCCTCCCAATGGCCGGAGTTGAGCATCGCCTCCGGACACTGGAGATGAAAAAAGGGGAATACCTTTACCTTTGTCTGCGTTGTCTGTTGTTGTTCATTGTGTGTATAAACGGGAATTGACTGTTTGCCTCATATGTGTTTTGTAATCTGCTCTTAGTCCCTCCAAGGAGATAAAGCGGAATATAAATAAAGGGTATTATTATTATTATTATTATTATTATTATTATTATTAACCAGAAATGACATCTATCCAGCACCTACCAATCCCCATGGTTGCCAAGTAACTGAGACTGTGCTGTGTATTTAATCCAACTCTTCTTTTCTTTCAGATGGACCCTGAAAGCACGCATTTATTAAACTTTTTGGTGTGATTTTAGAGCTGACTGCACAATGATGTTGTTTGTTATAACTTCCTTTTTGTTGGGTTTATTTTTAGTGTTGCTATGGGTTTTTGTGTTGCTCGTCTTCTTCCTTGCATGCCACTTTGAGGAAATTCTGTATTTTGAAAAGCAGGCTAGAAAACTGCTCAATGAATAAAATATCCTTTTTATTGCACAATGCGGGGCATGAATATTTCAGAACACGATAACTGTACATAATAGTTGTTATAGCTGAACTGGGATCTCTGCCTTGAAGAGCCATAATAGAAAACTACGTATTTGAATTTCTTTTGTTAGTTTAAAAAGAGTAACGTGTAATATAAGGCTCTGATGGGTTGCATGTCTTTTTGTCTTGTTTCTAGAGCGTAGGTGCATTGAGACCTTCCAAAACCAATCTTAGGAGGCGGGTAAGGCATTTTGATTCTCAACACACTTTTTCCAAGTCAGTGTGTGATTCCAGTGGATATTCCCCTATCTCCGTAACTTTGGAACTGGAGTCTAGGGAGAGATCTGTATTTGTTTATTTAGTTTGTGTTGACACCATTATGCCATGATGATATGATGTGTGGTTTGAATGGAAATGTATGAAAGGTGTATGGTTGGGATCTATAAAGGCTAGAGATGCCAACCTAAGATTGAGACCTCGGAAACTACAAAAAGAAAAGAACTGGTGAATTGTAATTAAAAGTTGCTGATTAGAACTGCTGTTGATGACCAGAGACAATGATTAAGTATTTGGTGGAAAACAACATGTTTACATTACCAAAGACAATGGCTCCTTTAAGTATGGAAGTCAACACAGTGGCTCCTTACATTTAAGAATAAAAACCAACATCACTTTAGGAAGCAAACAAAGCAGGAACACCTCAGATCTTAAACACCACACCAGCTTGGTAAAATCAGCAAGCTGTTTTGTTGAAGAATATATGTAGGAAACGCAGTAAGATAAGAAAAAACGGCGAAGATCCAATACAAGTAAAATAGTCCCAAACCTCAAAGGAAAACGAGATCCAAAAATCTATAAAAATCCATGGAACTAGGCACTTGAAACCATGAAACTAGACAGCAGGAAAAATCTCATAGACAAAACAGGAGCTTGGCAAGAACTTGATACATGAAACTAAGAGCATTGAAAACAAGACAATGATCAATTTCTGACATTGACTCAAATGAGGCAACACTTTCCCATGCATCAATATAAGGCATTTCTAGGTTCTGAAACTGAAAGGAAAGCATTTCTCTTAACCTAGCTAACAGATAACAGTTTGTTAACTTTTTTTCTGCTGTAAGCGAAGGGACTGTCTGAGTCTTTGCAGACTCTGTCTCTGTTTACAGAAACTTTGCTTTCTGTCTACATTCTCATTATTAGCTCTCTCTGAACTCTTATTATTTCCTGCACCTGAAAATTATCTTCAGCCAGTTGCTCTGAGAAAGGTTGTGAAGGGCCCCTCTCAAGAATGCCGCCTTGGGAATCTTCCTGAAACAGTTAAGGGCTCTCGTCTGAGCTTAACTCAGGCCCAAGCAAACTCTCATCCCCAAAGCCACCATCAAGAACATCAGCATTAACATGAACATCAGACACAATCACAGGCTGAACAGGCTGACATACAACACAGTGCTCCTTACTTATTATTATTATTATTCTTATTGCCAATATCATCAACATCAGCATCATTGGCTCTGTTGTCTGTGGTTCTTCTAGGATGATGACAGTGGTATCGAACTGGGAGAAGGGGCTGATGAATGGACCCAGGCCAGGACCTTGCTCAAGCCCCCAGATCAGCTGGAGCTGACAGATGCGGTGAGTCAATGCGGATGGGAGGGTCTAGTTTCAATACAATTCATTATCTTTGTAGGACATACATACATACATACAGCATAAGTCAGGGGCAGGGCAAGCCCTGGTGCCAAATCCTCATTCAGCCCAAAGCCACGCTAAAGCAAGTAATGGTTTCTAACCTGCTATGAACCCACAGGGTAAAGGCAAAGCAAAAGTTTATGTAAGTAAATGATTGCAGCACATAGCAAAAGTGACATAAGATTTATATTATTTACCAAATCCTGGTTCTCACTTTTGAATGCAGAGACCAGTAGTAAAGCTCCCCTGAAGTGTGTTGTTTTCCCCACTATTTATTTTATCTATGATGGAACTTCATCTCAAAAAGTTGTTTTGAATGTATTATAAAACAACACGAATGCTTCACTCATCGTGGCAAAGCCGTTCAGCCATTACTCCTCAATATCTTAATTTTTGAAATGAACTCCATTTGGGCCTTCTTTATCAAAATATTCAACGTATTACAGGTGACGGTAGGACTTTTGATTCATTACTCTCCTTCCTTGCAAACATGTAGAAGAGAAGGTGTTTTGTTTATGTGGGAGGTGATGAATGCTGTTCAGCAAATGCAAAAAGTCAACACTGCCATTTTTCCAGTGAAAACCATCTAGGGTTTTTTTGTTTTTTGTTTTTGTCGTGTCAGGAGCGACCTGAGAAACTGCAAGTCGCTTCTAGTGTGAGAGAATTGACCGTCTGCAAGGATGTTGCCCAGGGGACGCCTGGATGATTTTTTAAAATGTTTTTTTATCATCCTTGTGGGAGGCTTCTCTCATGTCCCCGCATGAGGAGCTGGAGCTGATAGAGGGAGCTCATCCGCCTCTCCCCAGAATCGAACCTGAGAAATACAACACTAAAAAGAGGTTGACGGGAGCAAACTGCAGATCTCTCTCAAATCCAGGGAAAGAGATTCCATCTAAACCAGGGATCTTCAAACTTTTTAAACAAAGGGCCTTGTCACAGTCCCTCAAACTATTGGAGGGCCGGATTATAATTTGAAAAAAACACACACACAAATGAATATCATGCACACTACACATATCTTATTTGTAGTGCAAAAAACCCACTTAAAAACAATACAGTAATTAAAATGAAGAACAATTTTAGAAAATAAACTTATTGAAGTGACTGGACTGACCTTGAAGGAGCTGGGGGTGGTGACCGTAGACAGGGAGCTCTGGTGTGGGTTGGTCCATGAGGTCACAAAGAGTCGGAGACGACTGAACGAATGAACAACAACAAAACTTATTAGTATTTCAGTGGGAAGTGTGGGCCTGCTTTTGGCTGATGAGATAGGATTGTTGTTGTTGTTGTTCCTGTTGTGTGCTTTCAAGTCATTTCAGACTTAGGTTGATCCTGAGCGAGGGTCGGGTAAATGATCTTGGAGGGCCTTTGTCTGAGGACCCCTGGCCTAAACATTAGGAGGTCTCTCAGAGTTGACCTCCTGCTTTTCCCCAAACGCAGGAGCTGAAAGAGGAGATCACCCGGATCCTGACGGCCAACAACCCGCACGCCCCGCAGAACATCGTCCGATACAGTTTCAAAGTAAGTGCTTCCCTTGCATTGGGCTCCAAGGCGGCAAAGAGGGGCCGCAGACAAACAGGCGAGACATCTCCCCTCAAAACAGACCAGAAATGAAATCAGGCAATTGGTTTTCCAATATCTGGAGTTGTAGGGATGCTAACTCCATGGATTTCGGTGATGTGGGGCCGGGGGGAGTGCTGTGATCCAATGGGACAGGGTACTTTTGGTCTCATTGAGGGCAGAAACATCCCTCCTTCCTCCAACTCTAATTCTGTTTTACATAGGATATGTTCAGTTTGCAAGTTAAACAGATAGAGCGATAAAGTGCAACCCTGCCCGACTCTCTGGCCAATTGGAAATTGGGGTGTTGTGCAGTTTCTGGGCTGTATGAATGAGTTCTAGCAGCGTTTTCTCCTTTGGCAAATGCAAGTGAAATGTCAGGTCTCTTTTCCCGGAGTTCGAATTCTACACTCTGCGCTACAGAGCAAAGGATTCAAAATCCAGGAAAAAAGTTTCCATGTAAACATTAGGAACAACTTTCTGATGGTCACAGCTGCTCAGCCAGAGATCCTTCTTGCCTCCCTAAGGTACAAATCCCAAGAACCCACAGGGTGCAGCCATGACAAATAACATGTTAGACAGAAATGCATTGACTGTAACCCTATTGTGTCAAACTGGTAGGAAATACAGTTCTAATGGACATGTGGGTACACACCTGCTCAATGATGAATGAATGTGTAATTTCAGGGACATGCTGAAGAAGCTGAGTCATGACCATGTGACAGCCATGACGAGGGTTGCACCATTCACTTTTGTCCCTGCTCGATGACAATCAAGCAGTGGGTATGAAATAGGGCAGGCCTGTGTTCATTCTCCTGCCGAACTCTCTTGCCGAATTCTCTTGCATCGGTTGCTGATATTGATATTCCTATGTCATGACTATATTGTTGAATATGCAATTGACTGATAGTGTTGGGGTTCAGCCTGTGCGTGAACCTGACTCTGACTCTCTGATTGTATTTCCTGATGCCCATGATGCCAATGTAGATGTCAATGTGAATTCTGAGGCCAATTTAGATTATGATGGTTTGAGTAGTGAAAATCCTACAGCCTTGGAAAGTGAAAGTCAAGATTCCCATGAGAACATACATTCTGAGCCAAGCGGAGATGGTTCACTCCCTTTTCCTCCCAGTTTTAGCTCTCCAGAGAATCAGACACCTAGCCTGCCTAATGAGGATAGGCGGGGGCAGATTTGGCAGAGTCGGGCAGAAGCACAATGTTTGTGCAGGTCAGCCAGATTGAAAGAAATCCAAACAAAATCTTCAGGCGTGTCTTGCAATAGATTTCTTGGCCTTAAATATGCCTGTTCTGAATCCAGCTTCAGACCAGGCATCGTTCCAGATTCATGTGCCAGCATTTGCAGGTCTCCTGATCCAAGTAACCTTGTTCCTCGGAGGTTTTCTAGTTGCCCTAAGTACGGTTAGTGATTTGCTAACAGGTTCCAGGATTCAGCAGTTTAGCTGTGGGTTTCATGATCTTGTTTATGGACATTTCTTGTTGCTGATTTTTACTGTGGCATTTTACCTTTGCATTTTTTCCTCTATTTTGTATTTATCTTTCATCAATAAAAAAGGATTGTTTTCCTGAAGCCAAGTGTGGTGGATTGTTGTCTGAGGGTCCAGTTTTCTGCTCTGGGTTGCAACAGATAGAGCACCAGGGGTTGTAATCTGTGTATATTTTGTACATAAAGCAATGTGTCAAGATTAAAATGTGTCAAGATTAAAAGCCTCTTGTGAGTTTGAATGAAAAGTGGATCAGAGTTTTCTTATACAGTGAGGAGCCCAAGGTCAGATGGTGCAGTTACACTCTGCTGACAAGTGATAAGGACTCTGCTATGTATGGGTTTAATTTGTTTTTGGCTTGCCTCTGAGACAATCAGTCCAGGGCACAGCATATATAGGGAGGGTGTGATTGGAAGGAAATCTAAAATCACACACCTGTCCCACCTTGACATAACATGGGACCGGAGTACTATGGCTATGTTCAGGGAGGGTAAGCTTGGCTGTCCCATAAGATAACAAGTAGGCAACCTTAAGCTGTTGCCTACTGAGCTTTGTTTGAAATAGTTAAAACTTCACACTGAAGGTGTTGGCTAAAGCTTGGTAGAGAAAAATTGGCTCGTAAGTCCACAAAGATGGTTGTCAAGACAAGTTTGTAGTTCATTTGTTTACTGGCACCTTCCAGGTTGGTAAGAAAACAGCAACATGATATTAGAACCCCGAACATCCTACTAATCTGGTTTATCTTGTGCCCCACTGCTGCTGCTTCTGCTGGTTGTTTTTCTAAGCTGCATCAACGAAGGGAAGAGTTTCTCTCTGGAGATAACTCTTCTCCAATCGTAAAAGATTTAGATACGTCATTTAGACCAAGAATCTTTTTTTTCCTGCTGTGAATATCGCATGCGATCTCTGGCATAGCACGTTTGTTTAAAGTATTTTTAGCCCTCGCTTCAGCTGGGGAAAAAAAACCTCCCAGAGAGTTTTCACAGATCGATACAAATCAGACCATGCCAGCTCAGCATCTAAGACACTGACCGACAGCATAGAATCATAGAATCATAGAATCAAAGAGTTGGAAGAGACCTCATGGGCCATCCAGTCCAACCCCCTGCCAAGAAGCAGGAATATTGCATTCAAATCACCCCTGACAGATGGCCATCCAGCCTCTGATTAAAAGCTTCCAAAGAAGGAGCCTCCACCACACTCCGGGGCAGAGAGTTCCACTGCTGAACGCTCTCACAGTCAGGAAGTTCTTCCTAATGTTCAGATTGAATCTCCTTTCTTGTAGTTTGAAGCCATTGTTCCGTGTCCTAGTCTCCAGGGAAGCAGAAAACAAGCTTGCTCCCTCCTCCCCGTGGCTTCCTCTCACATATTTATACATGGCTCATATCTCTCAGCCTTCTCTTCTTCAGGCTAAACATGCCCAGCTCCTTAAGCCGCTCCTCATAGGGCTTGTTCTCCAGACCCTTGATCATTTTAGTCGCCCTCCTCTGGACACATTCCAGCTTAGAGTCAATATCTCTCTTGAATTGTGGTGCCCAGAATTGGACACAATATTCCAGATGTGGTCTAACCAAAGCAGAATAGAGGGGTAGCAATACTTCCTTAGATCTAGACACTATGCTCCTATTGATGCAGGCCAAAATCCCATTGGCTTTTTTTGCCGCCACATCACATTGAAGGGCTGGGCATCATCTTAGGCCCGAAATGGCCTGGGATGGGAATGAATATTTATTATTATTATTTATTTACTTAAAACTTTTCTATCCCGATCTTCTCTACCTCTGCAGAGGGACTCAGACCGGCTAACAACAAAGACTCAATGCTAACACTGAAAATCTAAAACATAATACACAACATTAAGTGACCAATTACATTACATAAATTACATAAAATTACATAAAAGCCATTCGCCAGGATAAAATCATTATTTATTTATTTATTTATTTAGAACTTTTGTATACCGGTCTTCTCACCTCCGTGGAGCGACTCAGGCTGGTTTCCAACAATAATATCACAAGCAATCATTTAAAAACATCACATTCCGTAATACACTAACACATTAAAATACCAAAAATACAATCATATGATTACAATGGCCAAGTCGTCACAATAAAATCGTTGTCCATCATCATCCATCCATATAGCCACGAGTTATTGACTCATTCGTCAAATGCCAGTTTCCAGAGCCAGGTTTTCACCTGTTTTCTAAAAGTCAGGAGAGAAAGGGCAGTTCTAATCTCCAGTGGGAGGGAGTTCCAGAGCCGAGGGGCCACCACCAAGAAGGCCCTGTCCCTCGTCCCCACCAGGCGCGCTTGCGACGCTGGTGGGACCGAGAGCAGGGCCCCTCCAGACGATCTTAACAATCTTGATGGTTCATAGGGGAGAATACGTTCGGACAGGTAAACTGGGCTGGAGTCGTTTAGGGATTTATAGGTCAACACCAGCACTTTGAATTGTGCTGGAAGCTAATTGGCAGCCAGTGGAGCTGGTGCAACAGAGGAGTCGTATGCTCCCTGTACCCTGCTCCTGTCAGTAATCTGGCTGCCGCTCGTTGGGCTAGTTGGAGCTTCCGGGCAGTCTTCAGAGGCAACCCCACGTAGAGAGCGTTGCAGTAATCTAAATCATGTCCAACTCAGTCTGTATGTCCAGTCCATATATTGCGATCAGTACCATTAGTCGATTGCCGGTCTCAGACATCATTCTGCAAAAGCTTTGTTGCACAGCCAGGTTTTCACCAGCTTCCTAAAGGTCAGGAGGGAGGGGGCAGATCTAATTTCATTTGGGAGGGAATTCCATAGCTGAGGGGCCACCACTGAAAAGGCCCTGTATCGTCCCCACCAGACGCGCCTGCGAAGATGGCCGGACCGAGAGCAGGACCTCTCCAGACGATCTTAACACTCTTGATGGTTCATAGGGGAGAGTACGTTCAGACAGGTAAACTGGGCCGGAACCGTAATAAGAAGAATAAACTTTATTTACACCCCACCACTATCTCCCTCCAGCTTCTTTGTTGAGTTCCAGGGCCAGAGAAGCAGATGGCGGAAACAGAAGAAAGGCCTGCCTCAGGGGAGCGTGCTTGCTCCATCCATGTTCAACATCTACACAAATGACCAGCCACTGCCAGAAGGGACAGAGAGCTTCATCTATGCTGATGATTATGCCATTACTGCTCAAGCAGGGAGCTTTGAGACGGTAGAACAGAAGCTCTCCGAAGCTCTAGGTGCTCTTACTGCCTATTACAGGAAAAACCAGCTGACTCATAATCCATCTAAAACACAGACATGTGCCTTTCACCTTAAGAACAGACAAGCATCCCGAGCTCTGAGGATCACCTGGGAAGGAATCCCACTGGAGCATTGCAGCGCACCCAAATACCTGGGAGTCACTCTGGACCATGCTCTGACCTACAAGAAGCACTGCCTGAATATCAAGCAAAAAGTGGGTGCTAGAAACAATATCATACGAAAGCTGACTGGCACAACCTGGGGATCACAACCAGACACAGTGAAGACATCTGCCCTTGCGCTTTGCTACTCTGCTGCTGAGTATGCATGCCCAGTGTGGAACACATCTCACCACGCTAAAACAGTGGATGTGGCTCTTAATGAGACATGCCGCATTATCACGGGGTGTCTGCGCCCTACACCACTGGAGAAATTACACTGCTTAGCCGGTATCGTACCACCTGACATCCGCCGGAAGTAGCAGCCAATAGTGAAAGGACCAAGGCAGAGACATCTCCAGCTCATCCCCTGTTTGGGTATCAGCCAGCACGTCAAGGACTTAAATCAAGACATAGTTTTCTTAGATTTACAGAAACACTCGCTGGAACACCTCAGCAAGCGAGAGTCCAAAAGTGGCAGGCTCAAACCCAGAACCTCAACCAATGGCTGATACCAAATGAGAGACTCCTCTGGGCACACAGAAGACTGGGCGACTTGGAAGGCGCTGAACAGACTGCGCTCTGGCACCACGAGATGCAGAGCCAACCTCAAGAAATGGGGCCACAAAGTGGAATCCACGACATGCAAGTGTGGAGAAGAGCAAACCACTGACCACCTGCTGCAATGCAACCTGAGCCCTGCCACATGCACAATGGAGGACCTTCTTGCGGCAACACCAGAAGCACTCCAAGTGGCCAGATACTGGTCAAAGGACATTTAATCAACTACCAAGTTTGCAAAATTTGTGGGTTTTCCTTATCTGTTAGTTTGTTTTGTTCTGTTAGAAATGTAATACAATGGTATGGTTGGTGATGAGACGATAAATAAAACCATCTCCCTCGAAGGGATTCAGGGCGGCTCACAAATGCACTCTAAGGTGCCACACATAGAATAGAAATGCATAGCATAAAGTCCAAAACACCTGGAGGGAGGAGGGCCCAAGATCGCCCATGCCTGCGATACAGTGGGGATGAATGAACAGCCTTCAAAAGTTGCTTCTTGAAAGCATACATGGATATATCTTCTCTCTTGCTTCTTCCTCTTGAAAGCATACATGGATATCTGTTCTCTCTCTCAGTCTTTTCCTTCCTTCCTTCCATTCTAGGAAAGATCCTACAAACAAACCACCGTGGTGGAGCAAGTGGCTGTCCATTTCTCCCTTTGTGGGAACTTGGTCTTCAGAGATTCGGATGAGGGTCGAAGGCAGAGCGTGAGGCAGAGCCTGGGGGCTGGTAAGGGGAGCCATGCTCTTGGGGTGCATGCACTGGGGCTACCAGCTGGGAAAGAAACACCTCTCTCCTCCCAATGGGATTTTGTCCTGCATCAATAGGAGCCTAGTGTCTAGATCTAGGGAAGTCATGCTACCCCTCTATTCCGCTTTGGTTAGACCACACCTGGAATATTGTGTCCAATTCTGGGCACCACAATTCAAGAGAGATTGACAAGCTGGAATGTGTCCAGAGGAGGGCAACTAAAATGATCAAGGGTCTGGAGAACAAGCCCTATGAGGAGCGGCTTAAGGAGCTGGGCATGTTTAGCCTGAAGAAGAGAAGGCTGAGAGGAGATATGATAGCCATGTATAAATATGTGAGAGGAAGCCACAGGGAGGAGGGAGCAAGCTTGTTTTCTGCTTCCTGGAGACTAGGACGCGGAACAATGGCTTCAAACTACAAGAAAGGAGATTCCATCTGAACATGAGGAAGAACTTCCTGACTGAGAGCAGTTCAGCAGTGGAACTCTCTGCCCCGGAGTGTGGTGGAGGCTCCTTCTTTGGAAGCTTTTAAACAGAGGCTGGATGGCCATCTGTCAGGGGTGATTTGAATGCAATATTCCTGCTTTTGTCAAGGCTTTCATGGCTGGAATCACTGGGTTGTTGTAGGTTTTTTCGGGCTATATGGCCATGTTCTAGAGGCATTCTATCCTGACGTTTCGCCTGCATCTATGGCAAGCATCCTCAGAGGTAGTGAGGTCTGTTGGAGTAGGAAAATGGGTTTATATATCTGTGGAATGACCAGGGTGGGACAAAGAAATCTTGTCTGCTTGATTCTATGATTCCTTTATTGCTGGGAATGCTACTGGAGAGCTAGTTGCTTATTTGTGTTAGAGGGAAAAGTCGAGGCGGGGTTTACATCATGGCTCTGTTTGAATATTTAAATCCTTTTAGGTAAAGGTAAAGGTTTTCCTCTGACATTAAGTCCGGTCGTATCCAACTCTGGGTTGGCACACATCTCTATTTCGAAGACAAAGAGCTGGCGTTGTCCGTAGACACCTCCAAGGTCGTATGGCCGGCATGACTGCATTATTATTGTTATTTCATGCATTTCTACCCCCCCCCCCACACACACACACTTTTTATAGGGATGAGAGAGAGGACCTTCTCATTAGTGGCTCCCCATCTCTGGAATTCCCTTCCTAGAGAAAGAAAAAGGGAGGAAAAATGAGGAAAGAGGTAGAAAAGGAAGAAAGGAAGGAGAGAAGGAAAGAAAAAAAGAGAAGGAAGGAAAGAAGGAAGGAAGGAAGGAAGGGGACTCAGGGTGGCCTCACACATGCATCATGTGATGCTATCAGCATATAAACAATAAAGATTACTGTGCTGGTATGGCTGTACCAAAAGTTCCAATTTTATTTGCTTTGTATTAAATGTTTGTTTGCATTCCAAGGTTTCAGGGACTCTGCAGATAGGTGGCTTCTTTGGTTGCAGTCATAGGGCAAGTCACCTGTCCATCATCGTTAAGTTTTGGTTCCGCCCCTTGCTCAGGGCAATTGGGAAGGGAAGGGAGCCATTTTTTACTTAGTCTCAGCAAGGAAAACTAATGTACAGGATGCGTGCAAGCTTCCCCTGTACAAAAGCTTCAACCCTTAAGACTTTCTCGGGGAAAACAGTCTTAAGAGCATCCAAGACCTTCCGGGGGGAAACAGTCTTAAGAGTCCAAAGATTTCCAGGAAACCAGCCCTAAAGACCAAAGAACTCCAGCTGGAGAGTATCTAAGCCTTTACTGGTAGGTCCACTCGGTGCTTCGAGACACAGTTCGACCCGGTAGCGGAGCCCACATCAGTAAGGGTTAGATTACAGTTAACCTGGGAGAAGTTAAAAAGGGGATTCTCCTTTAAAGTAAAGAAGAAGTTATTGAAGACAGTTGCCTGTCCTTTGTGGGCAAAATTAGGAAGCCACCAGTTGCATAAAGCTTGGAAGCATTTGTTTAGCTTTATTGAAGACAAGAGAAGTTTCTGTTTGATTGTTCATTAATAAAAGACTTTGTTATACTTCACAAGCCATCTAAAGATCATTTGTGGTGGAAAACCTCTGAGAACTTCTCCTTGGGCCCCCTGGCTTCCCGCTGGGCAAAGGTTGTACATCCTGTCTTAAAGGAAATTCTTTACAGGCCCAGCGCGCGACAGAACAATTACAGTTAAAACAGTAAAAATCATCAAAACACATTATACAAATTTATTCAACAAGTTCATTAAACAATAAATTAGACATGCAAATGAAACGCCATTACCTTCCCACCAGAGTGGTGCCTATTGATCTACTCATATTTGCATATTTTCGAACTGCTAGGTGGGCAGAAGCTGGTGCTAACAGTGGGAGCTCATTCCGCTCCCCGGATTCGAACCTGTGACCTTTTGGTCAGCAAGTTCAGCAGCTCAGCACTTTAATCCACTGTGCCACTGGGGGCTTCTTTTAATGGCAGATGATAAGGCATAAACCCGGGATATTCTGCATTTGCTTTATATAACCCCATGAGTCCTCTGCGATAGAATAGAATCAAAGAGTTGGAAGAGACCTCCTGGGCCATCATCCAGTCCAACCCCATTCTGCCAAAAAGCAGGAATATTGCATTCAAATCACCCCTGACAGATGGCCATCCTGCCTCTGTTTAAAAGCTTCCAAAGAAGGAGCCTCCACCACACTCCGAGGCAGAGAGTTCCACTGCTGAACGGCTCTCACAGTCAGGAAGTTCTTCCTCATGTTCAGGTGGAATCTCCTCTCTTGTAGTTTGAAGCCATTGTTCCATTGCGTCCTAGTCTCCAAGGAAGCAGAAAGGAAGCTTGCTCCCTCCTCCTCCCTGTGGCTTCCTCTCACATATTTATACATGGCTATCATATCTTCTCTCAGCCTTCTCTTCTTCAGGCTAAACATGCCCAGCTCCTTAAGCCGCTCCTCATAGGACTTGTTCTCCAGACCCTTGATCGTTTTAGTTCTTGTAGTTTGAAGCCATTGTTCTGAGTTAGTGGGGATGAGAGAGAGGGCCTTCTCAGTAGTGGCTCCCCAGCTCTGAAATTACCTATCTAAAGAAATTAGACTTGTCCCACTCTTCAAGCCTTTCAGAGGAGTTTAGAAACATAGCTATTCTGACAGTCCATGTATAATTCAGCCCAGCCCGATGACTCGATTGTGGCACTCTGCACTTTATTGCTGATAGTTAACTTATTCTTTTTGCATTTTAGGAATTTTATAATTCTTATATTTTTAATGGGATTTTGCATCTATTGTTGTTTTTCTACATATGTTATCTATATAAATAAAAATGTAATGTTTGTTTGTGGGATTAACAGAACTCAAAAACCACTGGACGAATTGACACCAAATTTGGACACAAGACACCCAACAACCCAATGTATGTCCTTCACTCAAAAAATTGATTTTGTCATGTGAACACTGGTGGAGTTTGGGGAAAATAGACCTTGACATTTGGGAGTTGTAGTTGCTGTGATTTATAGTTCATCTACAATCAAAGAGCATTCTGAGCACCACCAACGATGGAATTGAACCAAACTTGGCACACAGATCTCCCATGACCAACAGAAAATACTGGAAGGGTTTGGTGGGCAGTGTCCTTTGGTTTTGGAGTTGTAGTTCATCTACATCCAGAGATTATTGTGGACTCAAACAATGATGGATCTGGACCAAACTCTACAAGAATACTCAGTATGCCCAAATGTGAACACTGGTGGAATTTGGGGAAAATAGAATCTTGATATTTGGGAGTTGTAGTTGCTGGGATTTATAGTTCACCTACAATCACAGAGCATTCTGAACCCCACCAACGATAGAATTGGGCCAAACTTCCCACAGAGAACCCCCATGACCACCAGAAAATACTGGAAGGGTTTGGTGGGCAGTGTCCTTTGGTTTTGGAGTTGTAGTTCATCCACATCCAGAGATCATTTTGGACTCAAACAATGATGGATCTGGACCAAACTCTACATGAATACTCAATCTGCCCAAATGTGAACACTGGTGGAGTTTGGGGAAAAATAGAATCTTGATATTTGGGAGTTTTAGTTGTTGGGATTTATAGTTCACCTACAATCACAGAGCATTCTGAACCCCGCCAATGATAGAATTGGGCCAAACCTCCCACACAGAAGCCCCATATGGGCCACAGCAACGCGTGGCAGGGGACGGCTAGTATATTTTATATTTGTGTACTTGTATGCTGTGTATTGTGGTTTAGATGCGGCACTGTAGTGCTTCTGTGAGCCTCTCTAAGTCACCCTGGGGAGATGGTGGTGGGGTACAAATAAAGATTATTGCATTCTATAGGATGAAAGAGGAAAAGCTATGTTCTGATACAGTGGGAGTTGAAGAGTTTGATTCCCCCCTGCCGAGGAATCTGGTGCCTTGGGCTCATTAGTTCTGCCTTTGGTTTGCAGCCATTGCTCCTGTTGCGTCTGTTGTGCTGGACCTGGAGGCCTTGGATGAAGAACTGAAGGAGGACGAGGAAGGAGAAGGGGAAGGGGAGACGGGAGAAGCCGCAGAAGGAGAAGAAGGAGAGAAGGGGGATCAGCAGGTAAGGCCTCCTCTCGTGGGGACATCCAAGCAGCTGCTCACTTGGGTTGCTAGGTATTTTTAATGCTATTTTTTCCCCCAAAGGTGAAGAAAAGAATATTTGAGAAAGGCAATGCAAAGAAAGCAGATTTACATAGTACATCACATCAAGACTACTACATCTTGTAAAACTAAATCTGGAACAAGCACACCAGCCTAACACAAATGTCCACAAACTAAACACCTAACTCCAGAAACAGCTCTGCAGAATTCAAACTCATTGTCTGTTGGTTTTTACCCCTCACTCTCTTAGATAATCTATATAAATAAAAATATAATATTCTGGGTTGTTGTAGGTTTTTCTGGGCTATATGGCCATGTTCTGGAGGCAATTTTTCTCCTGACGTTTCGCCTGCATCTATGGCAAGCATCCTCATAGGTAGTGAGGTCTGTTGGAAATAAGAAAAATGGGTTTATATATCTATGGAATGACCAGGGTGAGACAAAGGACTTTTGTCTGCTGGGGCTAGGTGTGAATGTTTCAGCTGATCACCTTGATTAGCATTCAATGGCTTGGAAGTGCCTGGGGGAATCTTTTGTTGAGAGTGATTTTATGTGCCTGATTGTTTCCCCTCTGTTGTTTTGCTGTTGTGATTTTAGAGTTTTTAAATACTGGTAGCCAGATTTTGTTCATTTTCATGGTTTCTTCCTTTCTGTTGAAATTGTCCACATGCTTGTGGATTTCAATGGCTTCTCTGTGTAGTCTGACATGGTGGTTGTGAGAGTGGTCCAGCATTTTTGTGTTCTCAAATAAAATGCTGTGTCCAGGTTGGTTCATCAGGTGCTCTGCTATGGCTGATTTCTCTGGTTGGAGTAGTCTGCAGTGCCTTTCATGTTCCTTGATTCGTGTCTGGGCGCTGCGTTTGGTGGTCCCTATGTAGACTTGTCCACAGCTGCATGGTACATGGTTAATCCCACAGAATATTCGTATGTGGGATTAACAGAACTTGGCAAATCGACACCAAATTTGGACAGCATACATCTAACAACCCAATATATGTCCTTCATTAAAAAAAATTGATTTTGTCTTTTGGGAGTTGTAGTTGCTGGGATCTATAGTTCACCCACAATCAAATAGCATGATAGAATTGCACCAAACAGCGCACACAGGACTCCCATGACCAACAGAAAACACTAGAAGGGTTTGGTGGGCATTGACCTTGAGTTTGGGAGTTGTAGTACACCTACATCCAGAGAGCAGTGTGGACTCAAACAATGATGGATCTGGACTAAACTCTACACAAATACTCAATATGCCCAAATGTGAACACTGGTAGAGTTTGGGGAAAATAGAATCTTGACATTTGGGAGTTGTAGTTGCAGGGATTTATAGTTCACCTACAATCACAGAGCATTCTGAACCCCACCAACGATAGAATTGGGCCAAACCTTCCACACAGAATTCCCATGTGGGCCACAGCGACGCATGGCAGGGGACAGCTAGTAGATTAGATAAAGATAGTAGGTAGACAGATCAATCAGGAAGACTGCTGGGAGTTACAGTCCAAGAATAGGTAGAGAAGGAAGAAAGGAAAGAAAGAAAAAATGAGGGGAAGGAAGGAAGGAGGTAGAGAAGAAAGGAAGAAAGGAAGGAATGTAGCCAGAAGAGGGGGATGGGACTATAGAGTGATATACACAGAGATTTGGTGTGTAACCCCCAGTACTGTCTCGGAAATAAAGCTGTATCCAAGGATTTGCCTATGTGAGTGTGCTTTTATTCCAAGAGCTTCCAAGTTCTGACAAAGAGTTAGCTCAGTCTCACCAACATTGGAATTTCATGACAGTCATGTTTCCAAGTGTTCCTAGTTTCATGTTCCAAGTTTTGCCAGGCTCCTGATCTGTGTATTGGATTTTCATGCTCCCTTGTTCTATGGATTTTATACCTTCAGATCTTGTGTTTTACCTTTGTGCCTTGAAGCTCATGGACTGTCTTTCTTTACAATTTTTACTGCTTTGTTTACATATATTATTCTGTAAACTACTTGCTAATTATACCAAGCTGGTGTGGTGTTTAAGGACAGAGGTGTTCCTGCTCTGAGTTGTGCTGGTATGGCTGTAGCAAAAGGTCCAACTTCCTTTTCTTTCTTTGAGGGTTTGCATGTATTCCAAAGTTCCATGCATTTTGCAATAAGGTGGCTTCCCTTGGTTTGCAATTATAGGGCCAATGACCCATCAGTCATTGTTAAGTTTTGGTTCCGTCCCTTTCCCCAGGGCTCTGGGAGGAGAGGGAGCCATTTTAGGTCAGTCTTGCATTGGGAAGCTTAGCTACAGGACGTGGATTAGCTCCACCTGTAGAGAAGCTTCGTTTCTCATAGCATCCGGGGGAAATTCCGGGAGAAAACAGTTCCAAAGGACTCCAGAATCTACAAAGCCTTGACTGGTAGGTCTACTCAGGACCCAAGAAGCAGTTTGGAGCCAGGAGTAGAGCCCACACCAGCAAAGTTTAGAAAGTAGATTGCCCAAGGAGGGGTTAAAAAGGGTTTTCCTCTTAAAGAAAAGAAACAGTTCACGAAGCCAGTTGCCTGTCCCTTGTGGACAAAATTAAGAAAGCCACCAGTTGATTCAAAGCCTTGAAGCATTTGTTTAATTAGTTGAGGATCTAAGAAGTATTTGATTGTTTGTTGAAGACTTAAGCAATAATAAATGACTTTGTTAAACCTTTCAAGCTTCTAAAGACTCTGTATAGGAAAATCCTTAGGGCCTCTCACTCGAGGCACCCCGGCTTCCCGCTGGGCACAAAGAGCACGTCCTGTTCAAAAGACAACTGCTATAGGCCCAGCACGTGTCAGCACAGGAGTACAACAATGGTGTGGTTGGTATTCCATTGGGCCTTAAAAGGATTACGCTTGTTACTGTCTTCCCATTTATTTATTTATTTATTTATTTACAAAACAAACCCCTTTTGAAAACATTTTCCACTAAAATGTCTCTAAATGTTCAGGAGGTTCCTGAAGGAACAGCAAAGGTTAGTTCCAAATCAGGAAGGCTTTTATATTGAAGTTCGGTAACGGAGACACAAACATCTACTGTATGTACAAATGCACGCACACTCTCTCCTTTTCACAGCAGGTTTCTTTATGCAGGTCTCTTCTCTCCAGCACGCAGACAAATACCATCCAGGAGGACCATCAATCAGCACATGGCGTCTGCCCTGCTTTTATACACATCCACATGATGCAATGATACATTCATGGCTTCATCATTCACCACCCGATGCAAGCACACATTTCTGGTTCATCAGACACTTGCTTTGTCATCCTGACTCAGCCATTGATCACCTGGATATGCCTCCATATTTTATCGAATCCCAACAGTAGCTGTGCTAGTCTGTTGGGACAGAAAATAATCAAGAGTGTTAAGATGTGTTAAAGACCAACAGGGTGTTGTGGCATCATGTAGCTTCAGTGTTGTATCTCAGAATAAGATTCACCTTACTCTCAACCAACACCAACCACAGTTGTGAGGTAAATAGTTTATTGTAAGGTTTCAAAGCAAAAGGCAGTTCATAAGCAGTAAGAAGATCAATAGAGCAGGTTACAAACAGTCCTTAGAACTAATCCAAAAGTCCATACAGACAAGGCAGGAGACATGAAGCACAGGTTCAGTGCAAAGGCCAAGAAACAGCATGAAGGAGCCTTCCCAAGAAGTCTTCCCAAAACCAGGAGCTTTAGTGAGCAAAAAGCAATGTTGAAACTGACACCAAGAAATCCCCAAAGCAGAGCCTATATTCACTAAACATCAAAACAAATCAGCTTTCCCACAGAACTGATGATCTCAACACTTGGCCGCAATCCTTGGGCTACGTCTCAACACCTGGCCACCTTGACCCTGGTTCTCAGTGTCTGTGTTATCATCTGCATTCCTTTCCTGTGAGAACCGCGGCCTCCCTACAGACTCAGGCTGTGACTGAGAAAACTGAAATCCAACATCTGCACTCCCATCCCCATCATGCTGGTGAACAACAACATTCAGGGACTCTCTGCCTTTATTTGGAGCAGCAGAGATTTTTTCTTCAGGGGGGAAAACACCCAGCAATTTTCAGATCTATAATGTTGAGATTCATTTGTGAACTTTGCTATAAAAATGGCGTTGCCATTTGGGTTTTCTAGAGGTATTGTTTTGGGATATTAAGATGAAAGCATAGTGCTTTGAATGCTTTGGTCAACATAATGTGCTCCAGTTCTTCCCCATTAGGCTTATTAGGGTCCTGTTCCCTAAACCAAGTATTCTTTATGGCTGGCCCCCAAGTGCCCAACAGCCTTTTGCACTCCAGAGCAGGATCCCCTCTGACTTCAAACACAGTTGAGTAAAAATAGCAAGCAGTTTACTGAAGGTACTAAAAGCCAAAGCAATAAAAAGTAATCCACAGTAAAAAGTAAATCCAATTGATTAGGAAGTAACAGGAGCAATTAGTCCAAAGAAAAATAGTCCAAAGAAATCCATGAAACTAGAGGCTTGGTTTCAAAGGCAAAAGAACAGCAAAAGCACTTAAAACAGGAATCAAGCAAGACAAAGATCCAGAAACTTGGCATGAAGAACTTATTATGAATCCAACGTTGCTTCATCTGAAGCTAGATACGGTACTTTGCACTTATATCCCAAACAGCCAAGAATGGATTTTTCCTTAATTTTGGTTTCACTTCTCGCTTCTGTTCTAATCTAGCTGGGTGCCTTAATTTCTGATTTGTTTGTCTTTGCTAGCTAAAAGCACTTCTTCTATTCAAGGCTTCATTAAAATCTGAACCTGGAGATAACTGATCAGGGGACTGCGATGCAATGCCTTTCCCAGGTTCAAGACCTTGAGAATCCCTTTGCAGCAATACAGGCCTCTCTAAGCTACCAACTGAACTGCACTCAGGCCCCACATCTCTAAAACCAGGCCCAGGAAACAGAATAATCATCCCCATTCCCTTCAGGAGCATCTTCATGGACAGCATCCCCATTCCCATCAGAGGAATCAGTTTGAACATGAATAACATTGTCATTCCCATCATCCAAAGCAACCTGATCATTAGACACAACCTGTTGCAACTCAGAGTAGGCTTCACCTTGCTCCCAAATACCACCACACAAGAGCTGTAGTTTGTAGTTTATTGAGGAGAAATCCAAGTCAAAACACAGAGTAAGCAATGCAAAGTTCCAAAGACAAAGGTTAAATGCAAAACACAGTTCCAAAGGTCCTTAGGTAAGAATATAAAACATAATCCTTTAAGCAATGGTCACACAAGAGTCCATGGTAAAAGCAGAGAAACCCAAGTCCCAAGAATCACGACTCAGGAAGCCCAAAGCGAGCTGCTTTAGAGCCAAGGTTATTCAATAGAAGCTTTCATGCTAAAAGCCACGTTGAACGGACACCTTCCCCTTGTTAACCAGAAGCCTAAATACCTTTTGCCAACAAGAAAACATTACGCTCTTGCCAGCATGAAAGCATTATGGTGACCTTTCACCGACCTGGCTTCTTTCTTGCTGGCTAGCCGCGAACTCCGCCTGACCCACCAATCTAAACGTTCCTGTCTGCTCATTAAATCACTATCAAAGCTGCTCTCTTCTCTATCCGTATCAGTATGAGACTGCTGATCAAGTGAAGGCCTCGTTATCTACTTCGCTGACATTCTTTTCCCATGAGAACTGACTTGTAGACTCCTCTGGGGCAGTATCTGCAAGAGGCCCAGAAATCTGAATCCCATCATCCTCTTCATCAGGGAACATTTCAGGCTCACAAGAAGGTTCAGTTTTAGGCTCAGAATCAAGCTGAGCCACAAAACAATCACAGGCTGAGCAGGCTGATATTCAACACAGCCATTCCAAGAAATGTGTCCCTTGCCAGCCGTAGCTCACTGTGTGTTTTTTCCCCTTCTTCAGGCTGCAGCCCCAGAAGAGGAAGAAGAGCGCATCCGTCCCCGGCCAGTGGGAGAGCGGAAGCTCACCAACCAGTTCAACTTCAGCGAGAGAGCCTCGCAGACCTACAACAACCCTGTGAGGGTAGGTGTGCCTCTGGGCTGGGCATCTCTTAGGTATGTCAAAGGCCACGGTCCTGAGAATTCGGCTTTGCTGCCTTGGAGAAAGAGAAGTTTTTTCCCCTTGCTGTCATATCCTTCAATATCTTTTGACCACCTACAGATTTTCTTCTGCACTCACCCCTTGATCTACCCTCAAATCTATTTCAGTGTGGTTGCCCTAGATCTGTGTTCCTTGGAATCAGTCTATAGAAAGAAATGGTGGCATTAACAAATGCTTGGGGAATAATAATAATAATAATAATAATAATAATAATAATAATAATAATCTCATGGCTGTGGCTCACAAATGGAACTCTGAAAAAGGAGACAAGGGAGGGCAGCCCAAGAACAAGCCACTAGAACCAAGGCCATCAAAGCCAGAATTGAAAAGTTAACAACAGATCCCAAATGTAGACTCTGCAAGGAAGCAGATGAAACAATAGATCATATTTATTATTTATTTATTTATTTGCTGCATTTGTTGACCGCCGCTCTCAGCCCTAGGGCGACTCGCGGCGGTGTACAACATATAAAAACAGTTTACAATAAAGCACAACAAAAAAAATCAACATATCAATAATGCACACTAATCTAAATTACACTAACTAATCCGCACCGTCACAACATAGAATCATAGCCAAACTCATAATCCATATTCCGTTCCAGTTGTCATTACCAGTTAATGTAGCACTCAGTTAAATGCCTTCTCAAATAGCCAGGTCTTTAGGCTCTTACGGAAAGCCATAAGGGAGGGTGCCTGTCTGATGTCAACAGGGAGGGTGTTCCACAGCCGGGGGGCCACCACCGAGAAGGCCCTCTCTCTCGTCCCCGCCAGACGTGCCTGTGAGGCAGGCGGGATCGAGAGAAGGGCCTCCCCAGACGATCTCAAGCTCCTCGTGGGCTCATAGGCCAAGATGCGGTCCGAAAGGTATTTTGGGCCGGAACCGTTTAGGGCTTTGTAGGATAACACCAGCACCTTAAATTGGGCCCGGTAGCAGATCGGCAGCCAGTGGAGCTGGGACAACAAGGGCGTTGTGTGCTCCCTGCGTCCCGCTCCCGTTAGTAACATGGCTGCCACGCGCTGGACTAGCTGAAGCTTCCGGGCCGTCTTCAAGGGCAGCCCCACGTAGAGAGCGTTGCAGTAGTCTAGGCGGGATGTAACAAGAGCGTGGACTACCGTGGCCAAGTCAGACTTCCCAAGGTACAGGCACAGCTGGCGAACGAGCCTAAGCTGTGCAAAAGCTCCCCTGGTCACCGCCGAGACCTGGGGTTCCAGGCTCAGCGATGAGTCCAGGATCACACCCAAACTGCGAACCTGCGTATTCAGGGGGAGTGCGACCCCATCCAACACAGGCTGTAACCCTATACCCTGTTCGGCCTTGTGACTGACCAGGAGTACCTCTGTCTTGTCTGGATTTAATTTCAGTTTGTTCGCCTCATCCAGACCATTACAGCGGCCAGGCACCGGTTCAGGACCTCGACAGCCTCCTTAGTAGCAGGTGGAAAGGAGTGACAGAGTTGGACATCATCTGCGTACAGATGACACCGCACCCCGAAACTCCGGATGATCTCACCCAGCGGCTTCATGTAGATATTAAACAGCATGGGGGACAGTATAGAGCCCTGTGGAACCCCACAAGTCAAAGGCTGTGGTGTTGAACAGGAGTCCCCCAATAACACCTTCTGGGTACGACCCTCCAGAAATGACTGGAGCCACTGCAGAGCAGTGCCCTCTAGTTCCGTCTTCCTTCGCTTCATCACTGCCAGCTCCTCAGTAAACCAAGGAGCTGGTTTAGCTCGGCTACTTGAGAGGGGACGTACCGGAGCGATCACGTCAATTGCCCTGGCCATCTCCCCATTCCAGAGAGCGACCAAGGCCTCGACATGGTCACCTACCGAGGAGGCGGGAAAATCCCCAAGAGCCATCAGGAATCCATTCGGATCCATAAGCCTCCTGGGGCGGACCATCTTAATGGGTCCTCCACCTTTGCGGAGGTTAGGGGGTGCAGTGAGCCTAAATCTGATCAGGAAGTGGTCAGTCCATGGCAACGGAGAGATAGACAACTCCTCCACACCGCCACCCTGCTCCCATCCCTGGCAGAAAACCAAGTCCAATGTATGTCCAGCACAGTGGGTGGGGCCAGATATTTGTTGGGACAGCCCCATGGTTGCCATGGCAGACATGAAGTCCTGAGCCGCTCCTGTGAGGGTCGCCTCGGCATGGATATTGAAGTCTCCCAGCACGATAAGCCGTTGAGACTCCAACGCCAGGCTCGAGACTACCCCCGCTAGCTCAGGTAGGGAGACTGTAGTGCAGCGAGGTGGACGGTACACTAGCAGAATCCCTATTCTGTCCCGGTCACCCACCCTTAGGTGGACACATTCAAAATTTGTGGTCTGCGGGATGGGGCTCCTGGTCAGATGGATGGAATCTCTATAGACCACTGCAACCCCGCCTCCCCGTCCTCCGGATCTCGGTTGGTGCTGTACGGAGAAGCCTGGAGGACAAAGCTGGGTCAGATTCACACCCCCAGCTTCATCCAGCCAGGTCTCCGTAATGCACGCCAGATCTGCCCGCTCATCCAGGATTAAATCCTGGATAAAGGTCGTTTTTCCGTTGACAGATCTGGCGTTCAGCAGCACCACCTTCAATCCAGAGGGCCCGCTCACCTGGTTACACCAATTTACCTTAGGAGACCGGTTTGGGGTTATTAATGTTGATAAGCGGTCCGAATTAGGCCGAATTTGAGGTCTCTTTTTTCCGCATCTCCCCCTCCCCACCACGACCTCTATGGGGGCCCCTCGGCTAGTGGAACACCTCCCCTCCTCCATGCCGCAGTCCAAAACCAAGGTCTTAATTTCTGTTTCGCTAGATGTTTGGTTTGTTGGCCCTTGCCAACTCCCTTGCTTCCCTTCCTCCCCCCTCCCCGCCTCATTATTGTTCACAGGCTCCAGCCCACTTCCTCCCTTGCCCTTTCCACTGGTCACTAATAGCAGGGACAGCACAAATAGGGGGATGGGGGACCACATGAATAATGATAAACCCGATGATACTCAGCGTTTCAGCCACAACAGTTAGAAAGTTCGTAAAGTGCAGAATCTTAAAGTGCAACACAGTCAGCAATACATCTGCGTGCCGTTGGGGCAAATTCCTAAAGTGCAAAGATCTTAAAGTGCGACAAATACCCGAATCTGGCTCTCAGCGCTAACTAAAGTGCGGCATAGAGGGTAGGGAAAGGGCGTAAGTGCTAGTACAGTTTAGCAGCAATAGGCAGGCGCCTTGGTGCTATCTTGCGTTCTTAATACCAAATTAGCAGCAAATGACAGACAGGAACGTACTATATTAGTAATATGTAAACACACTATTAAGAGGTTGTCAGTGATGACAATTAGTTAGAGGTATTATGATTCAAGGTGTAATCTATGGACGGCTGATGTAAGAAAGCGGATAAGTCCTCAATCTTCCGGAGATGGTTAACACGGCGGTGGTCAGCACAGTTGGACTATCACAATATCGAACAACACAGAGAAAAGGATAGCACAAAAAGGTCTACACAAAATCGGTCAACACAGAAGGTCAGCACAAAGAGATCTACACATTGCTTGCCCGGCCAGTGGTGGAAGATGTTAGAGGGCCAGGTGGCCAGGGCCCGACTCAAACAGCCCAGAGCCCAGATCCCGTAGCTCTTGCGGTGCACTGGCCCACTCGCAGGGCCTAGGTGGTAGAGGCCTAGCGTCTGAAAATAGGCACAGATGGAAAAGCCCCAGTATGGAGGGGCAGCGGTGATGGGCGATGTTAGGCCCGATGGTGGACGTCTTATGCAGGCCAGATGGGGAGGCCCAGCCAGACAGGACCGATGGTAAGGGCCCAGCCAGACGACGCCCACAGCGCAGTAGAACCGCGTGGAAGGTCCAGGCCCGCGTGGTGGGCCTAGGCGGCAAAGGTGTATGATGAATGAGTAGCTAGTTCTTGGACACAGAGCTCTGGAGTTGTAATAAAGTGCTGAGTCACGGGCGGACAGAACTTCTAGTTCTCGTTCCAGCCCAAAAAATGTCCGTAATATGATGTTAAATTCCTTCTTGAGCCCAGTGCCCCACTCTGTTGTTAGTTGATATTATTTCAATGATGCCCCCCACACTGCAATCAAGCCGTGTTGGGACACAATAGTTGGTTGGTTAACACTAATGTGGGACAGCGAAGAGAAAAACCGGCCAGCACTAAGCCCAAGCCGCTGTGGCCTCAACACTCCTGTGTCCTCGGTGTATTTCCTGGTTGTTTCTCAGCTGCTGCAAGAAGATCGGGCAGACAGACTCCAAGCAGAGGCACAACACCGTTGCTCAGATGATGCATTGGAACTTGTTCCATAAACACCATCTCCCTGCGACAAGGAACTGGTGGGATCACAAGCCGGAAAAAGTTACAGAGAATGAACACGCCAAACTCCTCTGGGACTTCCGGATTCAGACAGACAGAGTTTTGGAGCACAACATTTGTTAAAAAACAAAGTATGGATCGTCAGTGTCGCAATCCCAGTTGACAGCAGGATTGAAGAGAAACAACTGGAAAAGATGACACGATGTGAGGATTTAATCTTTTGTTGAGAGGTGATTAGATGTGCCTGATTGTTTCCTCTCCGTTGTTTTGCTTTTGTAATTTTAGAGTTTTTTAATACTGGTAGCCAGATTTTGTTCATTTTCATGGTTTCCTCCTTTCTGTTGTGCCTGGGGCAACCTTTTGTTGAGAGGTGATTAGATGTCCCAGATTGTTTCCTTTCTGTTGTTGTGCTCTTGTAATTTTAGAGTTTTTTAATACTGGTAGCCAGATTTTGTTCATGAAAGGCACGGCAGACTACTTCATCCAGAGAAATCAGCCATAGCAGAGCACCTGATGAACCAACCTGGACACAGCATATGAATTGAGAACACAGAAATGCTGGACCACTCTCACAACCACCATGTCAGACTACACAGAGAAACCACTGAAATCCACAAGCATGTGGACAATTTCAAAAGAAAGGAGGAAACCATGAAAATGAACAAAATCTGGCTACCAGTATTAAAAAACTCTAAAATTACAAGAGCACAACAACAGAAAGGAAACAATCTGGGACATCTAATCACCTCTCAACAAAAGGTTGCCCCAGGCACTGCCAGGCCATCAAATGGTAATCAAGGTGGTCAGATGAAACATTCCCACCTAGCTCCATCAGACAAGAGTTCTTTGTCCCCCCCTGGTCATTCTACAGATATATAAACCAATATTCCTAGTTCCAACAGACCTTGGATGCAGGTGAAACGTCAGGAGAGAATGCCTCTAGAACATGGCCATATAGCCCGAAAAAAACCTACAACAACCCAATAGAAACATCATTATGTACAGGAACCTCTTTGTCATTCCCAACATCCCGAGTACCCTGATCATTAGACACAATCACAGGCTGAACCCTGGTCTCCAGAGTCAAAGAACAAAACTTTTTGAGCACTAGGCTGGCTCACTCCAAATTGTCTAGGGGCATTTCCAAAAGAGAGCAATGCAGCTCAAATTGTGCTGGAAGATTTGATGAGAGAAATGCTAATTGTCGAAGGCTTTCACAGCCGCAATCACTGGGGTGTTGTTGTGTGGTTTCCGGACTTTATGGCCAAAGTGCTCTAGCACCATTTTCTCCTGACGTTTTGGCGGCCTGCTTTGAAGACGCCAGCCACAGATGCAGGCGAAAAGTCAGGAGGAAATGGTCACAGAGAGTTTCTGTGTGCCAAGAAGCATATCTCATTCCTAACTGGGGCAGAGCATTACTCTCCAGAAGGCAGGGCACAGACTGTACTTATGAGGACTTTGATTTGTAACCCAGCCGCATTGTATTCCTGCCTATTTAAAAGTAAGCCTCAATCCATCCGTTTTTCAGGCACATAAAGCACTGCTCGAGTCTGTAGACGTTGACTCAGAGTCACAGGAGCCAAAGAAGGAGACTCCGCAAACCCATTGCTTGCATTGACATGAAAAGTATTGTCTTCACAAATGGTACTTGTACTGCTGGAAAAAAAATAGAGATTAATAATAAAAAAGAGAAAAAAATATTCTCCGTTATGCCCCTCCCCCCACGGCCCTCCAAACTTTGCATGAGCTCACTTTTCCTCGACAATTAGCACCTGCTCCATGAGACCCCTTTACAGTGGCTTGTGGGGAGAGAGAACCTCAATCGGCCACCATATTAACTGTGCTCTGTTGACTATGTTTTCTTCCAGGATCGGGCCTGTCAGATGGAGCCTCCGCCTCGAGCCACCTTCTCTGACACCGCCAACCAGGTAAATGCTCCAACTGATAAGCCGCATGCATTAACACTGGGCAGGCTCAGGTGGCCCAGGTGTTGTTGCTACTAGAGGTTTACAATGACTTTATTTAAGTACCAAGGAAGCTCAGAACCTTTTCTGTTACAGCTACCGCAAGTTAATTGAGTATGTTATCTGCTTTGGCATAAAACAAGGCACTAGGTTTGCAAGCTTTGAGGCTTGATGGCTCATTTTGAGCTGAAGAAACCTTTAGCTGTTGCTGATAGAGGTTATGCAGAGTTCTGAAACTGAAAGTTTGGAGTGCCAGAGATGAGCACCACCCCACAGAGTCGGAGATGAAAGGGGAAGCCTTTACCTTTTTCTGTGTTGGGACTCAGCCTGTGCTTGAACCTGTGATTGTGTTTCAGTCTCCTGATGTTTCTGTGTCTGATGTGGGTAATGAGGAGGGAAATCAGTCCCCTGTTCCTTCTGATGTGGGGGATGCTGGGGCTGACTCTGAGGTGCAAGATGGAGACACTTTGGTCAATGAGTTTCATGCAGACACTGAGAGAGAGGCTTCGGTGCAAAGGGCAGATTCTCATGAGAATGTTTCTGTCAGGCCTTGGGAGGAAGGTTTACTCCCTCCATCTGTGAGCTCTCCAGATTCTAGTTTGGAAAACAGTCTGGCACCTGATAAAGTTAATGAGGAGTCAGATAAGCAGAGTCGGCGGCTGGAGATTAGCCAGAATCGACAAGAGGCCCAATGTTTACATAGATCCGAAAGGATTTGTCAATTAAAGTCAAAGGCTGGGGGGAAACGAAACCAGTTTTTGGGATTTAAGGTTTGCATGTAGAAAATTCTTGTCAGATCAGGCATCATTTGGAAACCAAGTTCTTGTGCCATGGAAGTCTTGTTCAAGGGATCTTGTTTCTGTGGAGTTTTTTAGCCTTTTGAATTGTCTTTGCATCCTGCTTGATTCCTGTCTGGATTAATGCTGTCTTGGATTGCCTGTATTTCTTGTGTGGACATTGCTTTGGGTTACTACTGTTTATGGACTAATACTTTTTGGAACCTTCTGATTTTCTTACAAGCATTTATTTCTTTTGGCCATTTACTAAGCTTTAATAAAAGAAGATTTGATTCTTCACTCTTCGTGTGGTGTGCTTTAAGTCAGAGGGTTTCTTCTGGACCTGGAGTGCAACAATCTGTGTGTTGTTGTTTCTAGGCACAGAATGTTTGCCTTTGTGTCTATATATGCTGGAATTTGCCCTGAATCCCCTTATTATTATTAACTTTGGCCCCTCCAGGCATTTTGGACTTCAACTTCCACAATTCCTAACAGTCAGTAGGCTGTTAGGAATTGTGGGAGTTGAAGTCCAAAACACCTGGAGGGCCCAGGTTTGCTCATGCTTGTTTTTGTAATCATATCTTCTGGAGTTGTCATCATCTTTTGTGCTTTTTTGTCTATTTTCCTGGAGTTTTTCCAACCAAGATTGAGTGGCTCGTCACTAGTGTACATGAATTGGAACTAAGGGCAGGCATCACCAACCTTTTTCGTTGCCTTGCTTTCAAATCTGATTTTCTTGAAACTCCTATTCACTCTCACCTGCTCTTGATCTCTCCTGTTAGTGGGAAATCTACGACGCCTATATGGAGGAACTCCAGAAGCAGGAGAAGTCGAAGGAGAAAGAGAAGCAAAGGGCCCCGGTGACAAAGAAGGAGGACCTGATGCGGGGAAGGAAGCTGACTTCGCTGGAATCTCAGGTGCTTGTTGTTGTTGTTGTTGCTTCTGTTGCTGCTGTTATGTTTATTATACCCCCCCCCTTTTTTTCTCTCCACGAAGAGACTCAAAATGGCTTACAGTGAAAGCATTTCCATACCACTTAAAATCTACAAATATACAAACATTCAAAGCCTTCCCAGGGTGATTTGGTCTAGCTGGACCAAACTGATAAGGAGAGCACTGAAGATAGTGAATTAATGAGCAGGCAAGAACGCTTAGATTGGAGGGTCAGGAGGAGTTCTCGCTTAGCTAGTAAGAAAGAAGCCAAGTCTTTCAAAGGTCAGCACAATGCCTTCATGGTTGCTAAGGGTATTTAGGTCTCTGACGGACAAAGAGAGATTGTCAGTTCAACGTGGCTCTTTCCATGCAAAGTTTTATGGATTAACCTTGGCTTTAAGCAGCACGCTTTTGGCTTCCTGCATCTGGGATTTTGAGTCTTGTGTTTCACTGTTTTTACCATGGACTCTTCTTTGATCACTGCCTAAGGATTATGCTTCATGTTTTTGCCTCTGGATCTTTGGAACTGTATTTTTGCATTTGCCTTTTGCATTTCTTATTCTATGTTTTGACTTTGCTTTTTCCTCAATAAACTACAAAATCTACAGCTCTGGTGTGGTGGTGTTTGGGAGCAAGGTGAAACTACCCTGAGTTGCAACATATCTACTGACTTGTCCATTTCTGCAACTGGCCCAGGTTCCAAGCTTTCCTCAGGCTCAAAGCCCTGGGAATTCTCTGGTAGCAATTCAGGCCCAGGGAACAGACTATCATCCCCAAACCCTCCAGGAACATTCTCATCAGAAAAGTCACTTTGAATAGGAATCCCATTATCATTCTCTACATCTAGAGCAACGTCATCATTAGACACCTGAACCTCATTGTCATTCCCATCATCCAGAGTACCCTGATCATTAGACGCAATCACAGGCTGAACTCCAACACCCATGTGGTTTCATTCATCCTAGCATCTAGCCACAGTCAAGGTGCACTGGCTTGATGGGAGGTATATGCCTTGGATCCTGCACAGGGAGGAATGCGGAATGTAAATCAAATATGTAAATACAACAGACAGATGCTTAACGGCCAAGGCATGCCTTAAAAAGAGAGTTAGAATCATAGAGTCGGTAGAGACCTCATGGGCCATCCAGTCCAACCTTCTGCCAAGAAGCAGGAAAGAAAGTTTCTCAGCCTGGGTTTTCTGAGTCGTAATTATATCAGCTCTGCAACTGGTTACCTGTTGAAGGGTTCAGAAACAACCTTTAGCACTAAAGTTTAAGACAATGTTGGCTTTGGAATCATTTGCAAATTGACATCTTGGCTCTTGTCAAAATACCCCCCCCCCCCAAAAAAAAATAATTAGCCTCCTCTTTGAAATGTCTTGGCTGTATCCTGTTGTTTTGTGGATAATGTGAGCTCTTTTCACACCGGCCTCCCAGAAATCCCAGCTTTGGGGATACTATTTATCTCAGTAGTTTGTTCATTTCAGGGTAATTAAAAACCAATGAAATGAAAATTATATGTTGCCGAGAGAGCTAGATAAACATGTGCTTTTACTGAGGAAACGGATATAATGTTTGTCCCAGAAACATTTGTTTTCCCGGCTCCGGACCATTACGCACTCCTAACGGATGCTGCCATTAATGTTATTGCCGTTGTATAAAATAATGTGGCTAGACATCCCCAGAAGGAAGGAATCAGTCTGCCGTTAAGCCACTCCTTGCTCAGAGAGCCTGCGAGTCAGCAAGCTTGGCTGGGAAAATCAATCCCAAATGGATCTTAAAAGGAGATGAATGGCCTCCTTCCATCCCTTTGGAGATTCATTTCAGGAAGAGACTGAATAAGTCACACCTGGAAAGAGGGGCGCTCAGGCGTCTCAGATGGAGAGTTTCTCCTCCTTGGAGGCCTCCTGCTTGGCTTAAGTCTTCAACTTGCTTTCATTTCATTTTATTTCATTCAATTGAATTGGCTTTTAGTGGCTGGGAGTTCCTTTGCAAGATCGGGGCCTTTGACAACCCAGCCAGGTAGACACGGCATGGCAGCCAGCGCCATTTCATAGAAGAAGAAGTTGATTTTTCCAAAAGTGCAATTGAGCATAATAATTATAAAAAATCTCAACGGAGGAACAAATTATCTATCCTATTTGTTGGAAATAGCGACCTTGGTGATAGTATGATATCTGAGTCCAGAAGCTCCGAGTGTCATGCACATTCTGCAACGGTGGTTGTGAATAAGGGAAGGGGAGACTGGCACACTGAGGAGGGTGGGAATATACTTTGTAGTTTAGTGGAAGGATAGAAAGGAGGGGAGAGTTAGGATAAGGTTTAGGGTAAGGTTTAGGGTTTGGGGTAGGGTTAGGGGTTAGGCTTAGGTTTAGGGTAAGGTTTAGGGTTTGGGTTAGGGCCATGATGGTGAACCTATGACACGTGTGTCAGCACTGACACACATGGCTATTTTTGATGACACGCGGCCACGTGCGGCCGCATACAGAGAAGTACACTTTATAAGAGCCAATCTAATTCCATCCTTAAATTTGTAAAAAGCTCTACAAATTTAACATCTGCACGTTTGAGCATTGGTCACTCCATAACTCAGCATGGAATATACATTTTTTTGTATTTAAACTATAAATATTGCAAAATTACGTTTATTTTTTTTCTCGAAGTTGACACCCCACCCAAGTTATGCTCAGGTTTTTGGCCAATTTTGACACACCAAGCTCAAAAGTTTGCCCATCAAGGGGTTAGGGTTAGGGTTATGGTTAAGGGTTAGACCTAGGGTTAGGGTAAAGTTTAGGGGTTTGGGTTCGGGTGAGGGTTTTGTTGCACCTCAGAATAGATTCACCTTGCTGAAATCACAAAAACTGCACACAGACTGAAGTCTTTCTAGTTTATTAAAAAGTAAAAGATAAAAAGTTTATAAAAGCAAGTAATGTTCCAAAAGATCAATAAAACATAGCACTGTAAAGCTGGATTCCAAGAGGCACCAACGAAGCAAAGTCCCATGAGAATATGACAAAATCCCGAGACCATGGACACAAGAACTATAAGATAATCTAAGCAAACAAGCACAAGCTGCTTGGTTGAGTGCAAAGTTGCTCTGACAAAGGTTTGTTTTCAAACACACTGCTTAATACCCTTTGCAATACATGGAAGCATTTCTTTGGCCTCTGACCTCCTTCCTGTTAGCTATTCTCACACTCCTTCAAATTCTGAATTCCAAACGGTCAGCCCGATCTAACATTCCCGTCTCATCAAAGTCAGGCTGCTCGTTAGTGTCAGCCTGGTTACCTTCCTGCCTACTATCAGGCTGAGAACTGTCCTCCTTTTCTGAGTCAATTTGCACCTGGCTAGTTTCAGTATCAGAAACATCATTCCCTGCTGTGGGAAACTGAACTGGCACACCCTGCTCCTCATTGTCTACAACAGGAACATTTTGAACCTGATTGTGAACCTGAATCCCATCATCCTCATCAGAGTCATTCTGAGACCCCCATCTGAGTCACAACACTATCAGTCTGTGTCTGTGGTTCCAGCGGAGTCACAACAGGTTTTACCATTACAGAACTTTTACATTCCTTCTATAATATCTGTGTTCCATTCTATGTTGCACAAACAGCAATCCCGAAGGAGTGAAGTGGAAACAGCGTAAAGCTCAGAGCTTCTGGGCCCAGCTTTCATACTATTATTGCAACCTTCTTCAACCCTCACTAGTAATTTGTTTGCATATGATTCTGTTTTGCTTACTGTATGATATATGCATGTTTTGGCATGCAGCTTTCCCTTTACTCTATTTTTCCTGAGAGGTTGTGGATGGGGCTTCATACCACATGATCAGATCTGAGACTGCTCAGAGCTCAGACTCCATTTTAGAGGACAGACTCCGTTAGGGAATGTAAAAATGTTGCTATTTGATTGTAAGAAAGTCGCCCTAGGGCTGAGAGCGGCGGTCAATAAATGAAGCAAATGAAGAAAGATGCCTTGTGCTACCTGCACAGAGAAACTACTTAAAATCCTATCTGTAACTGGATTGACAAGTTATGTACCTGTATGCTGAATACATGAAGGTTGCCACCCGATACCCCGATCGGCCCCATGACTGACCAGGAGGACCTCTGTCTTGTCTGGATTAAACTTCAACTTGTTAGCCCTCATCCAGTCCATCACAGCTGCCAGACACTGTTTTAGAGTCTAGGAGGCTTCCTTGAAGTTTGGTGGAAAGGAGTACGTAGTAGAGTTGGGTATCATCTGCATACAGATGGCACCGGACTCCAAAACTCTGTATTTACATTTTGTCGGTTTTAAGATTATAAGTGAGCAGCTTTGAGTATTTGTCTTGAGAGAAGAGTGGGGTATACATGATGATGATGATGATGATATGTACACATGATTATGGGCACCCATGATGATGGTGAAGGTGATGACTCCATAGAGCTGACTTCCCTAACAAATTGTTTCTAAGGATCAGGCATGTAGCCGGGGGGGGGGGGGGCTTGAGGGGCTTCAGCCCCCCCCCCCCGAAATTCTCATGGTGATTCGCGAAAAGGCCTTACTGGTGCATTATTTAAACTGTTATGTTTATTCATATCATGATCTGATCACCATACTCAATATATTTATTTTATTTATTTATTTAATATATCCCATATACATGGGGGTATGGGATAACGATACAAAAGGTTTGCTAGGCTAGACCCTCTTTCACTCAGACTCAGCCCCCCCCCCTAAAACTCAGCCCCCCCGGAAACCCCCCCCCTGAAAAATACCACCCCCCCCCCCGAAACGAAATCCTGGCAATGGACTATCCCTCAACGTGATTGGGTCCCTAGTCTACCCCATCAGATGCATGGGTAGAAGTGACACTTGCCTCACTACCTCTGAGGATGCTTGCCATAGATGCAGGCAAAACGTCAGGAGAGAATGCCTCTAGAACATGGCCATATAGCCCGAAAAAAACCTACAACAACCCAGTGATTCCGGCTATGAAAGCCTTTGACAATACAAGGCTGTCCTTTTGCAAATATTCAAGGTTAACTTGCAAATGCACTCTCTTAATACAGCATCCTTTCCTTTAAAATAAAAATACATTAGTTTTGTTATAGCTTGTTTGTTTTAAGCCTCATGGAAACTATGGCACAAATTGCCCCTCCTAGTGCCTTGGGTTTTGTGCCTTGGCGGTTCCTGCGCGTTTTAATTGTTCTGCTTAATTCTTCAGAGAGTCCCTTCCTCGCTCTCCATCACTGCCGGCTCTCCTTAATGGGATCAGCATGTGCCGTTGCAGAGCGTATATTGCGGCCTCACATGGCTGAGCATCCTTTAATGGGAAGATGTCCCTGCATGCAGGAAGAAGGCTAGATTAGAGCCAGTTTTCCCCAAAGCCACTGTTCTTCATGGGAGCGTTGTCTTCTGTTCTTGTTGGAAGAGAGCCTACTCCTGCAGCCTCACATGAGGCACCAACCTTTGCTGTCCAGAGGAATAGAATAGATGTGTAGTCAAAGACTTTCATGGCCAGAATCCCTGGGTTGCTGTGAGTTTTTCAGGCTGTAACGTCAGGAGACAATGCTCTTGGAACATGGCCATACAGCCCCAAAATCTCACAGCAACCCAGAATAGAATAACTTTATTGTCATTGTATACTGTACAATGAAATAAAATGCCATCCCCAATCACATTATATATGTACAAACTAGCTGTCCCTTGCCACGCGTTGCTGTGGCCCACATGGGGGTTCTCTGTGGGAAGTTTGGCCCAATTCTATCGTTGGTGGGGTTCAGAATGCTCTGTGATTGTAGGTGAACTATAAATCCCAGCAATTACAACTCCAAAATGTCAAGATTCTATTTTCCCCAAACTCCACCAGTGTTCATATTGAGTATTCGTGTAGAGTTTGGTCCAGATCCATCATTGTTTGAGTCCACAGTGATCTCTGGATGTAGGTGAACTACAACTCCAAAACCAAAGGACACTGCCCACCAAACCCTTCCAGTATTTTCTGTTGGTCATGGGAGAACTGTGTGCCAAGTTTGGTTCAATTCCATCGTTGGTGGGGTTCAGAATGCTCTTTGATTGTAGGTGAACTATAAATCCCAGCAACGACAACTCCAAAATGTCAAGATTCTATTTTCCCCAAACACCACCAGTGTTCACATTTTGGCATGTAGAGTTTTGTCCAGATCCTTCATTGTTTGAGTGCACAGTGATCTCTGGATGTAGATAAACTACAACTCCAAAACCAAAGGACACTGCCCACCAATCCCTACCAGTATTTTCTGTTGGTCATGGGAGAACTGTGTGCCAAGTTTGGTTCAATTCCATCATTGGTGGGGTTCAGAATGCTCTTTGATTGTAGGTGAACTATAAATCCTAGCAACTACAACACCCAAATGACAAAATCATTTTTTTTTTGAGTGAAGAACATACATTGGGTTGTTAGGTGTCTTGTGTCCAAATTTGGTGTCAATTCATCCCATGGTTTTTGAGTTCTGTTAATCCCACAAACGAACATTACATTTTTATTTATATACATTACCAAACAAAGCACCCATCCTTCCATTTCAACTGCTATTGCACAAACACTAATGCCACATCAGTGTGAAGAACAGTTCCCAGGGCCCTGTTTTCACTTTTCAGGGCTAGTCCATATCTTTCTCAAGGACCTGGACAGCAGAATAGAGGGCAGGCCGATCACATTTGCAGGCGAGACCACATTGGGAGGGAGAGCTAAAGCCCCAGATGATCAGGATCCAAAGGGACAAAAACAGATTAGAGAGCTGTCAGCGTGGGTTGGCTTCATTAGAAATCACAACAATCCCACCAGGTATATACGTAATGTATAACTCCCAATTTACTGCCTTCGTCAATGCTGCTTTTGTATTGAATGTGCAAAGCAAGGGAATCATCCAGCCCTATTCCAGCATGATCTAATGAATGTCAACATTCCGCCATTTCTAAACAGCTTCAGGACCTTGGAGAGCTCTTATGGTGCTATCCTAAAACTGGAATGGATTAACTGAAACAGGAGCCACCAGCCACAATGGACAGGGTTGCAGAATAAGGGGTGCATTAGGGAGTCTATGTCTCCTGGTTCTCCTTCTTTCCTTCCTTCCTTCCTGTCGAAAGTTTCATGGCTCCTTCTCCTTGTCTTCCTTTTGTCAACAGAGTGATGACATCACCAAGGTGGCCAAGGCTGCAAAGATCGTGGAGCGAATGGTCAACCAGAACACCTTTGATGACATTGCTCAAGGTGGGAGATTGTCCTAGAGGACAGCCATCCTGAGACCCAGCCTAGTCCATGTTTCCTCTCTTGATATCCGTTGCATTCAGACTGCAGTGATCGCACACCATAGTATCTCTGGCCTTTCCACTTCTGTGAGCAGCAGCAAAATGCATAATTTAGTGAAACCCAGTGTAAAACAGAATTCTCCACACTGAGCTGGGTTCTTTTTGCACCATGACTTAATTAAATACAAATGTACCATTTTGGAAGGCATGCAAACTGGATACACAGAGATAGATGGCACGATATTTTTGTTTGACTCGCGGATTTCCAGTTTGGAGGGGAAGATGGGGTGTAAATAAAGGTGATCATGTCAATAATTAAAGCAATGACAGTGAATTGGGATTAACAAGAACAACAGTTAAAGTTTGGCCAAGTTCAAGTATGAAGGTGAGCAAAATTAATGTGTGGAAGAATGGAGCCACAAGGTGGTAGTAGTGAAATGAATAGCAAACGTCTCTCCATCCCTCCCTTGATCAACGCAAGTATAGGAAAATTGAGATAAGTGGTGTTATTATACAATGGTGATATATACAACCAGCCCTCCTCATTCACTGGGGTTATGGGCACAGGACCCCCGTGGAAGTGAGAAACTGTGAATAATGTAATGGGGGGGGGGGGGGTTGTACCTGGCTAAACACCTTTCTGGGAATCTCTAAGTCTTCTAGGTTGTCTCTATGGTCAACGTCTGCTGCTGGAAGCTGGACTACAATCACATTGGAGACATTAGAGATTCCTAGGGAGGTTTTCCTCTCCGGAAATGCCCTCCTTCCTCCTGCATGCCCAGAGGAAGTTTTATTTATTTACAATATTTATATTCAGCCCTTCTCACCCCGCAGGGGACTCAGGGAGGATTGCAATGTACATATACATGGCAAATATTCAATGCCATAGACACACAACATATATAGACAGGCACTCAGAGGCTATTTAACATTCCAGCTTTTTCATGAGAGTATTCTGGCCACCAGGGGAGCTGTCGCTTCACCGTTGATTTGTGACACAGATGAAGTACTTCCTCATTCTTTGCATGCTTGCTGGAGATTTTTATGGCCTTGTAAATTAGCCTCCCCGCATAGGAGAGGCTAATTTACCTAAATTTCCAACTTGACAGATGCAACTGTCTTTTGGGATGCAAAGGTTGACAGCAAGCTACACAAATTGGTCAGAAGCTCACTCCAACCCAGGCTGGCTTCAAACTCATGACCTTTTGGTCAGTAGTGACCTTAATGCAGCTGACTCCCAGCCAGTTGTGCCACAGTTGACCACAAAGTTGCACTGGGAGACCTAGAGATTCCTATAGAGAACATTTAAAATGGAATCCATGAATATTAAATCCACAAAAGGCAAACCTGCAATTGTGGCACGATGACTATATTCATACAACCTTTCATCCCCCACAAGTGACCTTTGTTTTCTAAAGAGTATGCATAATAATATCCTCTTTCATAATTGACAACAAATACAAAGAGCAGGAGTAGATGTATGTCCCTTAGATGCCATGCAGCAAAAAAATGTTTTAGCAGTTGGTCTGATTCCTTGTGTCTTTGGCACTCGCTGCTGACTACCCCTGCGAAGCCCCTCTCATTCTCAGCTCAACTGTTCCTCTTTTTTGCCAGACTTCAAGTACTACGAGGACACTTCCGATGACTACCGGGACAACATGGGGACCCTCCTTCCGCTCTGGAAGTTCCAGTACGACAAGGCCAAGCGTCTGGCTGTCACCGCCCTCTGCTGGTCAGTCCATAGTCCTTTGCCTTTCCATAGTGAACAAGCATGAGCACACTTTGGCCCTCCTCCAGGTGTTTTGGACTTCAACCCCCACAATGCCTAACAGCCTACTGGCTGTTAGGCATTGTGGGAGTTGGAGTCCAAAACACCTGGAGGGAGGGCCAAAGTTTGCCCATGCCTGCCATAGTCCACTTTCTGGCAAGACATTACTCAGAGATTAGTCTGGAGTCCTGGGTTGACTTATTATGCACCACTCAGTACAAGCACTGTGCCTTAGCTCTTTGGCCTCTCGTTCATTCAGTCTTCAAGGTGAACCTAAACGTTTGCTGGAATGCTGTAAGTCCCTTGGCATTGTTTTCCTGTGCTTTATTTTTCTTACACATCCCTAAGTTTCCCCCTCTGATGATCATAAGAGGGTTTTGATTCCCAAACCTGCCCTCGTCTTATCCTTGAGATTGACTGATATAGGGTCCTGGCCATTGGAGTAAAATATGAGTCAACATTCTGTATCTATAAGCAGTGTGCAAGGTGGCTCCTCTGTGTTCAGCAGCGGAATAGGCCCCATGAGAGTCCAGTGGAGTCTCCTTTGCTGGAGGTTTCTAAGCAGAGGCTGGATGGCCATCTGTCGGGAGGGATTGGTTGGAGTTTTCCTGCCTGGCAGAAAGAGGGTAGGATTGGATGACCCATGAGGTCCCTTCCAACTCTAAGATTCTATGATATGTTGCACTCCAGGACAGGAAAAGCTATCTGACTTTAAACACCACACATTGAATAGGAAAACAACCCATTTATTGGAGATAACTAAGTAAAAAAGCACTTTTAAGGAAATAGGTAAATTCAATTAGGTAAGAAGATAAGCAGGAACAAAATAGTCCAGGGTAAAGTTAAGCAAAGTCCATGAAAACAAAGTCCACACTTCTCTATTAAAATCCAGAAAACCAGGAAACATTAATCCAAGGCATGAGTATGCAATCTTAAATCCAAGAATAAAAACCATGAAACAAAAAATACTTAAGCATGAATCTTCCCAGCAGGGCTTCCATGAAACAAGGACGAGAACTTGATTCCAAACGATGCTTCATCTGGCTAAATTTCCCGTATTTGAGACTTTTATCCCCTCAATAAGCTAGACCAAGCACTCAGAAATTGGTTTTGCTTTAGTTGAGACTCCCTTATATTTTTCTGTTGGAGCCTGGCAGAATACTGAAGCCACTGTTCAGCTTGTCTATTTTGACTAATCTCCTGCCATCTATCTATGTGCTCATTAACTTTTGCAGCTGGCCTACATGCTGAGTTGTTTTCAAGCCCCAAATCCTGGGAACTCTCTGGTAGCAATTCAGAAAGCACACCATCATCCCCACACCCCTCAGGGACACTCTGATGGGAAACTACACTTTGCACAGGGATCTCCTGGTCATTCTCTGCATTAAGATCACTGACCAAACCATTGCCATCTTGAAAGTCAACTTGAAACTCATTGACATCACTCCCCACATCCAAAGCACCCTGATCCTGAAACACAACCACAGGCTGAGCTCCAACACTCAATCATCTCTCTGTCTCTCTAGCAATAATATCTACAGCTATCAATCTTGGGCTGGGTGGCCATCTGCCTAGAGGGATTGGATTGTGTCTTTCTGAATGGCAGAATGGGGTTGGAATGGATGGCTTTTGGAAGTCATTTCCAACTCCAGGATTCTGTGATTTTCTGATTCTATTTCCAAGTCGGAGCACTGGGGCTCTTCTGACACGTGTCTTCCTGTCTCCAGTTCTGTCAAAACATATTAATTGTCAGAATAGGTACGTTTGGAGCAATCAGTGTTGTTGTGACGTGTGGAGAATATCACTCAGGCTGCTAACATAAGCTCTACATTTTTTTTCTTGCAGGAACCCCAAGTACAAGGATTTGTTTATCGTGGGACATGGCTCTTGTAAGTTTGGCCCAAAAGTACGGTGGTTGAAATGAATTGCTCTTGGTGGCAGCTGTAAGCATTGCATTGCTTTCCAAGTGGCATTTGTACTCCCCTGGTTCTGCTTCAGACACCCAAGCGGTTTCATGGCCATGGCTTTTATTTTCATACTCATCATTGGTATGCATAGAATGCCTTTTTTCGCTCCTGGAAGCAGGTGAGGCAGGAGATGTCCATAAGGTGCGCTTCACTGTGCTTCCACCAGATTATTTTCAATGGCTTTAATAAGTGCCATCCCCATAGGCTCCTTTATTGTGCAACAGACCAATTTACCTGGGTCTTCTTGCCGTTCTATTGGCTGACCAGGGTGGGACAAGGAACTCTTGTCTGTTGGAGCTAGGTGTGAATGTTTGATTAGCATTTGATGGCCTGGCAGTGCCTGGGGAAATCTTTTGTTGAGAGGCGATTAAGTGTCCCTGATTGTTTCCCCTCTGTTGTTTTGCTGTTGTAATTTTAGAGTTTTTTAATACTGGTAGCCAGATTTTGCTATCAGTATTAAAAAAAAACCTCTAAAATTACAACAGCAAAACAACAGAGAGGAAACAATCAGGGACAGCTAATCACCTCTCAACAAAAAATTCCCCCGGGCACTAACAAGCCACACCAAAAAATGCCAGGCCATCAAGGTGGTCAGTTGAAACATTCACTCCTAGCTCCAAAAGACAAGAGTTCTTTGTCCCACCCTGGCCATTCCACAGATATATAAACCCCATTTTCCTACTTCCAACAGACCTCACTACCTCTGAGGATGCTTGCCAAAGATGCAGGCAAAACGTCAGGAGAGAATGCCTCTAAAACATGGCCATATAGCCTGGAAAAACCTACAACAACCCAGTGATTCTGGCCATGAAAGCCTTTGACAATTCATTGTGTTAGTTTTGGCCCATCCTCTCTCTAATCTGTTTCTTTCCCTTCTTGAAGATGGGGACTTCATTTGCCCTCCTGCAGCCTTCTTATGGGACTTCTCCTGTTCTCCAAGACTTTTCAAAGCTTATTGCCAGTGGTTCTGAGATTACTTCTGCTCGTCCCTTCCGTATTCTTGGATGTGTCCTTATCGCTTCTTGCGCATGGCTCCCCAGCTGGTAAAGATGAGTCTCCAGGCCTTTGGCTGCTTTGCCTCCCAGTTTTGGCTGGACTTGGGGGGCTTTCTCATCCCTCCTGGACTTCTCTATAGATTTGTGGCTGGCAGAGGTCCACTGCGCTGTTTACCCACCTGTGCACATGGCACACGTGGAGGAGCACGTGTTTATCATGACCTCTGGCAAAGTCGCAGCATAACGATCTGATTTCCCAGAAGGGAAAAGGATTGCAGCCTTCAATCAGCTCAGTGTGGGGCTTGGCCGTGATTGCCTTTTCCTTTCAAAGCCTATCCTTCATCAGCGCTCCAAGGCAGCCTTGGCAGAGGTGATGATTGCCCGCGCAGGACCGCATTTGCCTCCTCATTTTCTTTTATGCAAGATAACTTCATTATAGATACAGACACTTTAAGAAGATGAGAAACATTTCTCAAACCTCGGAGCCCCTCCCCTCCAGCACACGCTTAGATTTATTATACTCAGTCCTTTCCATGCAGGAATCCTAGAATCCTAGACTCAAAGAGTTGGAAGAGACCTCCTGGGCCATCCAGTCCAACCCCATTCTGCCAAGAAGCAGGAATATTGCATTCAAATCACCCCTGACAGATGGCCATCCAGCCTCTGTTTAAAAGCTTCCAAAGAAGGAGCCTCCACCACACTCCCTCCGGGGCAGAGAGTTCCACTGCTGAACGGCTCTCACAGTCAGGAAGTTCTTCCTCATGTTCAGATGGAATCCTTTCTTGTAGTTTGAAGCCATTGTTCCATTGCGTCCTAGTCTCCAGGGAAGCAGAAAACAAGCTTGCTCCCTCCTCCCTGTGGCTTCCTCTCACATATTTATACATGGCTATCATATCTCCTCTCAGCCTTCTCTTCTTCAGGCTAAACATGCCAGCTCCTTAAGCTGCTCCTCATAGGGCTTGTTCTCCAGACCCTTGATCATTTTAGTCGCCCTCCTCTGGACACATTCCAGCTTGTCAATATCTCTCTTGAATTGTGGTGCCCAGAATTGGACACAATATTCCAGGTGTGGTCTAACCAAAGCAGAATAGAGGGGTAGCATTACTTCCCTAGTTCTAGACACTATGCTCCTCTTGATGCAGGCCAAAATCCCATTGGCTTTTTTTGCCGCCACATCACATTATTGGCTCATGTTTAACTTGTTGTCCACGAGGACTCCAAGATCTTTTTCACACGTACTGCTCTCGAGCCAGGCATTGTCCCCCATTCTATATCTTTGCATTTCGTTTTTCCTGCCAAAGTGGAGTATCTTGCATTTGTCACTGTTGAACTTCATTTTGTTAGTTTTGGCCCATCTCTCTAATCTGTCAAGATCCCTTTGAATCCTGCTCCTGTCCTCTGGAGTCTTGGCTCTCCCTCCCAATTTGGTGTCGTCTGCAAACTTGATGATCCTGCCTTCTAGCCCTTCATCTAAGTCATTAATAAAGATGTTGAACAGGACTGGGCCCAGGACGGAACCCTGCGGCTCTCCACTTGTCACTTCTTTCCAAGGAATGAATTTTCATAGAATCACAGAACTGGAAGAGACCCCAGAGGCCATCCAGTCCAACCCCCTTCTGCCATGAAGGAGGATGCAATGCGATTGTTGCACCTCAGAGTAGATTCACCTTGCTGAATACACCAAACTGCACACAGCCAGAAGGTTTTATAGTTTATTAAAATAAAAGGTAAAAAGGTCTTTAAGGCAAAGGTAAATCTTCCAAAAGATCAATATAACATAGCACTTGAAGCTTAATCCAAAAAGGCACCAGTAAAGCAAAACCCAAGAGAACATGACAAAGTCCTGAAACCATGAACACAAGAAGATAATCCAGGCAAACAAAGGCAAACTTCTTAGTTGAATGAAAAGTTACTTTGACAAAAGTTTGATCACAAAGACACTGCTTAAAACCCTGTGCAAAACATGAAGGAGTTTCTTTGGCCTCTGGCCTCCCTCTCGTTAGCTATTCTCACACTCCTTCGAACTCTGAATTCCAAATGGTCAGCCCGATCTAAGGTCCCCATTTCGTCAAGGTCAGTCTGTTTGTTAGTGTTATCCAGTTTGCCTTCCTGCTCATTATGAGGCTGAGAACTGTCCTCCTTCTCTGAGTCAATCTGCCCCTGCACCTGGCTAGTTTCAGTATCAACATTCTCATGCCTTGCTGTGGGAAAGTACACTTCTTCACAGGGACATTTTGAACCAGACTGTGAACCTGAGTCCCATCCTCCTCATCAGAGACACTCTGTGATTCCAGCTGAGTCTCAACAGTGATCCTTCCTGACAGATGGCCATTCAAACTCTGCTTAAAAACCTCCAGAGAAGGAGATTCCACTGGGTTCCCGGGAAACAGCTGATTTCACAGCCAAACAGTTCTGATCATCATGAGGTTCTTCCTAACATTGACGTGGAATCACTTTCCCTGTCATTTATTTATTTATTTAGTGCACCACTCCACTAATCCTCCCACATTAGCCTAACCAGATCCACCACTGTCACAAGGAACAGCTACACTGTAAAATTAATGTAATTTGACACCACTTTGACTATTGTGGCTTAATATTATGGAATCATGGGAGCTGTAGTTTTGCAAGCCTCCTCTGGCAGAGAGAGCTGGTGCCTCACCACACTACAGCTCCCAGGATTCCATAGCATTGAGCCAAGGTGGTTGAAGTGGGGTCAAACTGCCTTAATTCTGGAGTGTAGGTGGAGGCACAAGAAGATCCTCCCTACAGCCAAACAGATGTAAAGTAAGGTTGCTGTAGGTTTTTGGGCTATATGGCCATGTTCCAGAAGCATTCTCTCCTGACGTTTCACTTGCAGCTATAGCAGGCATCCTCAGAGGTTGTGAGGTCTGTTGGAAACTAGGAAAGTGGGGTTTATATATCTGTGGAATAATGTCCAGGGTGGGAGAAAGAACTCTTGTCTGTTGGAGCTAGATGTTAATGTTTCAATTGGCCATCTTGATTACCATTTGATGGCCTGGCAGTTTTTAGGTGTGGCTTCTTACTGCCTGAGGGAATCCTTTGTTGAGAAGTGATTAGCTGACCCTGATTGTTTCTCGTCTGGAGTTCCCCTGTGTTTAAGTGTTGTTCTTTATTTACTGTTATAACTTTATAGTTTTTTAATACTGGTAGCCAGATCTTGTTCATTTTGATGGTTTCTTCCACACCTTCCTCCAACAGACAAGAGTTCTTTCTCCCACCCTGGACTTTCCACAGATATATGAACCCAATTTTCCTAGTTTCCAACAGAAATCAAAACATCTGAGGATGCATGCCATAGATGCAGGCAAAATGTCAGGAGATAATGCTTCTAGAACATGTCCAGACAGCCCAAAAAACCTACAACAACCCAGTGATTCTGGCCATGAAAGTGTTCGACAATACAGCTGTACAGTAATTTCCAATATATGGATAGATTTCAATGAGCCATTGAAATCCACAAACTTGTAGACAATTTCAACAGAAAAGAAGAAGCCATGAAAATGAACAAAATTTGGCTACCGGTATTAAAAAAACTCTAAAATTATAACAGTAAATAAAGAACAAAACTCAAACACAGGGGAACTCCAGACAAAAAACAATCAGGGACAGCTAATCAGCTCTCAACAAAGGATTCCCCCAGGCAGGAACAAGCCAGACCTTGAAACTGTCAGACAATCAAATGCTAATCAAGGTGGCCAATTGAAACAGATCTCACAACCTCTGAGGATGTCTGCCATAGATGCAGACGGAACATCAGGAGAGAATGCTTCTAGAACATGGCGATAAATCCCAGAAAACCTACAACAATTCAGTGATTCCGGCCATGAAAGCCTTCGACAATACAGCCATGAAGGATTTTCCAATAAATGGCTAGCTTGCAATGAGGAACTTAGGTCAATAGAATAATGATGTTTGATATTTGCAAGTATCTCCCAGATCAATATCAGTCAGACATATAAGAAATTTCAGAAATGGATCTGCAATATGCATTTTGTGCCATTTGAACTGTCACAACTTTATCCTAAGGGATTCTGAGGGATTGTAGTTCAGAGAGTGGGATTGTCTCGCAGGGAATTCAAAGGATTTTTTTGGATGGAGTCATAACATTTAAAATGGCATGGGAACTTGGGAATGTCTCTTTTGAAATTTTAAAGCGATGCTTCCCTTAGAGCATGTTCCGATTGGATTTAGATTAGTGCCTGTGTTTCAATGAGAGTTGAATTAAATCTCTGTGTTCAGAGTGTATCTGGAGAGCCTGAGACACACCGTTGGAGAAATTTCTCCATCCATGCAACATTCATGTATTTATTTTGTGATATGCATGGACATCCAGAACTGATTCTGGTTTGTCCAGAAATACCATGACAACACAGGATTCCACCAGACTCTAAAAACAATGTGTGAACTTCCACATTACTATCCATCTATCTATCTATCTATCTATCTATCTATCTATCTATCTATCTATCTATCTATCTGCATATGTGTTGGAGCAATAGTTGCTTGTGGAGGCTTTTGCCACACGATGGCACTCTTAGTGAGCAGCAAACCAAGAGGGAAAAGGCTTCCAAAATCCTGAAAGAAACATGGCCTGTCCAGCTGGGGTTGATAAATGCTTAAGCCAGGGTTCCCACTGATTCATGAAAACAGGATGAACTCAACACAGGCTCGTTTGCCAGTTATTGCTCTTGAAGGGCCAATCATGAGAGTTAATATTTTTAATGCCAAAAAGTACACTAATCTATTTTCAATGGAAGGGAGAAGAATAAGGAAAAATTATGGATAGGAAGGAAAGGGGCTGGAGCAGTGGTTCTCAACCTTCCTAATGCCATGACCCCTTAATACAGTTCCTTATGTTATGGTGACCCCCAACCATAAAATTAGTTTCATTGCTACTTCATAACTGTCATTTTGCTGCTGTTATGAATTGCAATATAAATATCTGATATGCAGGATGTATTTTCGTTCACTGGACCAAATTTGGCACAAATACCCAATACACCCAAATTTGAATACTGGTGGGATTGGGGGAGGGTATTGATTTTGTCCTGTGGGAGTTGTAGTTGCTGGGATTTATAGTTCACCTACAATCAAAGTGCATTCTGAACTCCACCAACGATGGAATTGAACCAAACTTGGCACACAGAACTCCCATGACCAACAGAAAATACTGGAAGGGTTTGATGGGCATTGATCTTGAGTTCTGGAGTTGTAGTTCACCTATATCAAGAGCACTGTGGACTCAAACAATGATGGATCTGGACCAAACTTGGGACGGATACTCATTATACCCAAATGTGAACACTGGTGGAGTTTGAGGAAAATAGACCTTGACATTTGGGAGTTGTAATTGCTGGGATTCATAGTTCGCCTACAATCAAAGAGCATTCTGAACCCTACCAACAATTGAATTGGGTCAAAATTCCCACACAGAACCTCCATAACCAATAGAAAATACTGCGTTTTCTGGTGGTCTTTAGTGACCCCTCTGACACCCCCTCACGACCTCTCCAGGGGTCCCGACCCCCAGGTTGAGAAACACTGGGCTGGAGTGACTGAAATTAATTGAGATCATGATAGTCCCCACTTGGCAGGATTTATGTTGTTTAGTACTTGAGTTCTTTATCTCTCAGCCTTTATAAACAATTCTCCTGGTCTTATTAAGAACTTTAACAAGGTATTGCTCCCAGATTGCTAGTATCAGCAAGTGTGGATCAACTCAGCTTATTATGAAAGAGATAATAATAATAATAATAATAATAATAATAATAACAACAACAACAACAACAACATAATAATAATAATAATAATAATAATAATAATAATAATAATAATGCAGTGCCTAAAGACCTTGGCATGTACTTAAACACAATCGGCACTGACAAAATTACCATCTGGTCACCACCGAAACCTGGGGTTCCAGGCTCAGTGATGAATTCAGGAGGACTCCCAAGCTGCGAACCTGTGTCTTCAGGGGGAGTGTGACCCCATCCAAAACAGGCTGTAACCCTATTCCCTGTTCGGCCTTGCAACTGGCCAGTAGGACCTCTGTCTTGTCTGGATACAATTTGTTCGCCCTCATCCAGATCGTCACAGCGGCCAAGCATTGGTTCAAGAGCTGAACAGCCTCCTTAGTAACAGGTGGAAGGAGTGAAAGAGTTGGACATAATCTGCGTACAGGTGACATTGCACCCCAAAACTTTGGATGATCTCCCCCAATGGCTGTTAAACAAAGCCTTTCTGCTCAGGTGTGTGGATATTTAGAGCTCTCTCAACCCCAGAAGAAAGCGAAGGCAAGAATTTTGAATAATACTCTGCTAAGAAAATTGCTCCCTGTGAGAGTTGCCATGGATCAGAAATATGGTTTTCCACATCCCACAGATTGAGAAAGGTAACATTCAAAGCATAGCCTGCTCTCAAGAATAAAGGGCACGTGGAATCCGCTTGACGGATGAGACATTTCCATCAAGGAGTCAAAGGGCCTCCCGTGCAGCAAATGCCGGAAGACCCTCCAAGGAGGAAAGAGCTGGAATTAAATCCTTGGCAAGGCTGGGCTTGGCCTTCGGGAGCTCCATTTGGAGAGCGGAGCGGAGCAAAGAAACCCGTGCCTTTGCTCCCAGCAGCAGCAGCCTTATCTCCATCCACACCTTTGCTGCTCCTCTGCGAAGCACCGGGCATTTTCACTCAAAGGCATGAATAATAATTGTTGGATAAGAGAGTGGATGCAACAAGAAAGGGTGCAGAGGAACTGGCTCCAAGGAGAAGGCTGGATTTCTTTATCAGGGAAAGTCAAGCAGCCAAAAAAGAAGGAGGGACAAGGATTAGTGGGAAGGTGGAACTTACTTTACTTACTTACTTAGGCGATCCCTCGTTCTCAGAGTAGGATTGTCTTCCAAGTTCGGTGTCCTGGGGGTGGGTCCGTAGGTGACTGTGGAGCCCTATTCTCAACCTGCATCTTCTCCCGCAGTGAAGGCATTGGTTTCCAGGTAGAAGGCGGTTGAGGTCGGCTTGATGCGCCTTCCTCTTGGCACGCTTCTCCCTTTCACCCTCCATTCATGCCTCTTTAATTTCTACAGCACTGCTGGTCACAGCTGACCTCCAGCTGGAGCGCTCAAGGGCCAGGGTTTTCCAGTTCTCTGTGTCTCTGCCACAGTTTTTAAGGTTGGCTTTGAGCCCATATTTAAATCTCTTTTCCTGTTCTCTAACATTCTGTTTTCCACTCTTGAGTACGGAGTAGAGCAACTGCTTTGGGAGACAGTGGTCAGGTATCCGGACAACGTGGTCGATCCAGCGGAGTTGTTGGTGGAGGACCATTGCTTCATTGCTGGTGGTCTTTGCTTCTTCTTCCAGCACGCTGACGTTTGTCCACTTGTCTTCCCAAGAGATTTGCAGGATTTTCTGGAGGCAGCACTGATGGAATTGTTCCAGGAGTTGCATGTGACATCTATAGACAGTCCACGTCTCGCAGGCATATAGCAGGGTCGGGAGGACAATGGCTTTATAAACAAGCCCCTTGGTCTCCCTACGGATGTCCCTGTCCTCAAACACTCTCTGCTTCATTCATAAAAATGCTGCACTTGCAGAGCTCAGGCGGTATTACATTTCAGTGTCAATGTTGACTTTGGTGGAGAGGTGGCTGCCAAGGGAGCGGAAAATTTTCTAATGTGACACCATTAAGTTGTATCTCTGGCATTGGAAAAGGGTTGGCTGGTGACTGCTGGAACAGCACTTTGTTCAATGACAGGTCGAGCTTCTTGTATGCTTCTGCAAATGTGTTTAGTGTCTTGTAGATCTTCTTAATGCGCACAGATGACGTTATCATCAGCATACTGGAGTTCTATAACAGATGTTGTAACCTTGGTTTTGGCTTTCAGTCTGCTGAGGTTAAACAGCTTGCCATCTGTCCGAGAGATGATTTCCCCTCACATATTTATACATGGCCCTCATTATGTCTCCTCTCAGCCTTCTCTTATTCAGGCTAAACATACCCAGCTCTTTAAGCCACTCCTCTTAGGGCTTGAATCACATTGCACAGACCTACACATTGCTCTGTGTGCCTGTTGATTGCATGATAGATTTTACTGAAGTTTGTGATATCTATCTATCACAAGCATGGGCAAACTTCGGCCCTCCATGTGTTTTGGACTTCAACTCCCACAATTATCGCAACTGATGTTCAAAACACCTGGAGGGCCGAGGTTGGCCCATGCCTGATCTATCTTTCTATCAATTGATTTATCTGTTTGTCTCCTTCCTCCTCCTCCTCCTCCTCCTTTTGCACAGACGACTTCATGAAGCAGAGCCGGGGAATGCTGCTGCTGTACACCTTGAAGAACCCTTCCTTCCCAGAGTACATCTTCAACAGCGAGAGCGGCATCATGTGCCTGGACATCCACGTGGACCACCCCTACCTCATTGTGGTGGGCTTCTACGATGGCAACGTGGCCATCTACAACCTCAAGAAGCCCGTGGGCTCCCAGCCGGGATACAAGAGCTCCGCCAAGTCCGGGAAGCACTCCGACCCCGTCTGGCAGGTGGGTCCCATCGGAGCGTTTCTAAAAATCCCATTAACAGTTGGCACACACAGTTTGGGAAGCATGAGTCTATTATAGCTCTTGCATAAAATACGTTCTTCCTAATGTTTTGGCCGAATCTTGCATTTTGAATCCACTGAGTCTAGTCCCTGGAGCCACAGAAAGCAAGTTCACTCCATTTCCTCCATGGCGTGCCATCAAATATTGAAAGATGACTTTGGTGTGACCTCTCCATCTTCTCTTCTGCAGGCTAAACAAACCAGCTCTGAGTTGTTGCAGGTTTTTCAGATTGTGTGGCCATCTTTTAGAAGCATTCTCTCCTGACGTTTCTTATGCATGTATAACAGGCATCCTCAGAGATTGTGAAGTCTGTTGGAAACTGGGAAAATTGGGTTTATATATCTGTGGAATGTCCAGGGTGGGAGAAAGAACTCTTGTCTGTTGGAGCTAGGTGTGAATCTTTCAATTGGCTACCTTGATTAGCATTTGATGGCCTGGCAGTTTCAAGGTCTGGCTTGTTCCTGCCTGGAGTAATTCTTTGTTGAGAAGTGATTAGATGTTCCTGATTGTTTCTCGTCTGGAGTTCCCCTTTGTTTGAGTGTTGTTCTTTACTTACTGTTATAATGTTAGTGTTTTTTTTTAATACCAGTAGCCAGATTTTGTTCATTTTCATGGTTTCCTCCTTTTTGTTGAAATTGTCCACATGCTTGTGTATTTCAATGGTTTCTCTGTGCAGTGTGACATGGTGGTTTATTTATTTATTTATTTAGAACTTTTGTATACCGGTCTTCTCACCTCCGTGGAGGGACTCAGGCCAGTTTCCAACAATAATATCACAAGCAATCATTTAAAAACCATCACATTCCGTAATACACTAACACATTAAAATACCAAAAATACAATCATATAATTACAATGGCCAAGTCGTCACAATAAAATCGTTGTTCATCACCATTCATCCATATAGCCACGAGTTATTGACTCACTCGTCAAATGCCAGTTTCCAGAGCCAGGTTTTCACCTGTTTTCTAAAAGTCAGGAGAGAAGGGGCAGTTCTAATCTCCAGTGGGAGGGAGTTCCAGAGCCGAGGGGCCACCACCGAGAAGGCCCTGTCCCTCGTCCCCACCAGGCGCGATTGGGTGGGACCGAGAGCAGGGCCCCTCCAGACGATCTTAACAATCTTGATGGTTCATAGGGGAGAATACGTTCGGACAGGTAAACTGGGCCGGAGTCGTTTAGGGCTTTATAGGTCAACACCAGCACTTTGAATTGTGCTCGGAAGCTAATTGGCAGCCAGTGGAGCTGGCGCAACAGAGGAGTAGTATGCTCCCTGTACCCTGCTCTTGTTAGTAGTCTGGCTGCCGCTCGTTGGACTAGTTGGAGCTTCCAGGCAGTCTTCAGAGGCAACCCCACGTAGAGAGCGTTGCAGTAATCTAAACGGGATGTAACCAGAGCGTGGACCACTGTGGCCAAGTCAGACTTCCCAAGGTACGGGCGCAGCTGGTGCACAAGTTTTAATTGTGCAAAAGCTCTCCTGACCACCGCCGAGACCTGGGGTTCCAGGCTCAGCGATGAGTCCAGGATCACTCCCAAGCTGCGAACCTGCGCCTTCAGGGGGAGTGTAACCCCGTCCAGCACAGGCTGTAACCCTATGCCCTGTTCGGCCTTTCGACTGACCAGGAGTACCTCTGTCTTGTCTGGATTAAGTTTCAATCTGTTGTCCCTCATCCAGTCCGTCACAGCGGCCAAGCACCCGTTCAGGACTTCAACAGCCTCCTTAGTAGCAGGTGGGAAGGAGTGATAGAGTTGGACATCATCTGCGTACAGATGACATTGCACCCCGAAACTCCGAATGATCTCTCCCAATGGCTTCATGTATATGTTAAACAACATAGGGGACAGTACTGAACCCTGCGGGACTCCACAGTACAATGGCCGTGGGGTCAAGCAGGAGTCCCCTAGCAACACCTTCTGGGATCGACCCTCGAGGAAGGACTGGAGCCACTGCAAAGCAGTACCCCCAAGGCCCATCAGAGTGGCCCAGCATTTCTGTGTTCTCCAATCATATGTTATGTTCAGGTTGGTTCATCAGGTGCTCGGCTATGGCTGACTTAGAATCATAGAATTGGAAGAGACCTCATGGGCCAGCCAGTTCAACCCTATTCTGCCAAGAAGCAGGAATATTCCATTCAAAGCACCCCGACAGATGGCCATCTATCCTCTGTTTAAAGGCCCCCAAAGAAGGAGCCTCCACCACACTCCAGGACAGAGAGTTCCACTGCTGAACAGATGGCCATTTCTCGCGGGTGTTTTGAATGCCATTGTCCCTCTTCTTGGCAGAATGGGGTTGGACTGGATGACCCACCAGGTCTCTTCCAACTCTAGGATTCTGGATTCTATGACCTTTGCATTAAAGACCTTCTAAGATGACAGCTTCCAGGATTGCCTAGCATTGAGCCACGGCAGTAAAAGTGGTTCCAAGCTGCATTCATTTGGCAGTCCGGATGCACCCCTAGAGAGAGCCAGTCGGATGTTTCGCTCCTGGAACGCTTTGCCACCCTGCTCTTGGTGCTGCATCCAGGCGGCCTTTCCTGGGATGTTTTCTTTCTGTGATTAATGTCCTCGGTTATTTATAAACCGCTCCCCAGGCAGAAGAGCTGTCAGGGCTGCAGCAAGGGCTTCCTGCTCAAAGGAGCACAAGGGAACAGCAGCTCTTGAATGGCACTTGCTTTTTGTTTAAGCTATTTATTTATTGGGTTTTTCCCCTCCAGCAATGTAAGTCATAGAATCATAACATCAGAAGGAGTATCCAATCCCGTTCTGCCAAGCAGGAAAAGCACAATCAAAGCACAATCAAAGCACACTCGACAGATGGCCATCCATGCTCTGTTTGAAAGCCTCCAGAGAAGGAACGAAATCAGTTTGTGTGTGTGTATGTGTGTGTGTGTGTGTGTGTGAGAGAGAGAGAGATAACTAGAAATGCAAAGCACAAAGCTGCTTGCTTGGGCCATGTCCAGGGAGATAGCTGAGCCTGGGAGTTTTGCCTACAGTTACATTTTTAAGGCTTGAGCTGTGCAAGTGCTTGCAGAAACAGTTCATGAGCTGCTGGAAGGAAGTTTGCCACATGGACAACGAAAGACCATTTATATCTCTTGGAAAGGACATTTGAGTCGGTGCAACTGAGCTCATGATTGCAAATATGTAGTTCCGCATTACGAAGTGTAAACTACTTGTTCTTTATTGATTATCTGTGTGTCATAGTTTCTTTCTCTGGAAAGACATTGTGTGGGCTGATAAAACATAGAACCATAAAATCAAAGAGTTGGAAGAGACCTGGTGGGCCATCATGCAGTCCAACCCCATTCTGCCAAGAAGCAGGAATATTGCATTCAAAGCACCCCTGACAGATGGCCATCCAGCCTCTGTTTCAAAGCTTCCAAAGAAGGAGCCTCCACCACACTCCGGGGCAGAGAGTTCCACTGCTGAACAGTTCTCACAGTCAGGAAGTTCTTCCTCATGTTCAGATGGAATCTCCTGTCTTGTAGTTTGAAGCCATTGCTCCTTGTCCTAATCTCCATGGAAGCAGAAAACAAGCTTGCTCCCTCCACCACACTCCGGGGCAGAGAGTTCCACTGCTGAACGGCTCTCACAGTCAGGAAGTTCTTCCTCATGTTCAGATGGAATCTCCTTTCTTGTAGTTTGAAGCCATTGTTTCGTGTCCTAGTCTCCAGGAAAGCAGAAAACAAGCTTGCTCCCTCCTCCCTGTGGCTTCCTCTCACATATTTATCATATGAACTACACGTGATTTACATGATGCCAACACGAGCCTCCACTGGACCCTGAGTCAGCAGCAGATTCCACTTCCAAACAGCTGTTACCATCAGGAATCTCTTTCTGATCCCCCCCCCCCCCAAATCAGGCTCAGGCAGAAGCAAATGCTGCACATATGTTGTTTGATTGTGCTTTTCCTGCATGGCAGAAAGGGGTTGGCCAAATGGCCCATGGGGTCTCTTCCAATTTGTATGATTCTGTGACCCCTTGTTAATAATTTTTAACACGTTGACCACACCCTGATGTGGTTTGGCTGCACGCCTCCTGGTTTTCATCCGTGAAATACTGGAAAGAATGTATTTTCGAAGGCTTTTGTGACTGGAATCACTGGAAAGAATGAGCTCACTGGCTTCTCAACAGCTATATGCCTTACTTTGAGAAGAAAAAGAAGGAGCTCCACTTGCTTGACTACCATCAGAACACGGAAACGCTGGACCACTCTGACAACCACTATGTCAGGTGACACAGAGAAGCCACTGAAATCCACAAGTACGTGGACAATTTCAACAGAAAGGAAGAAACCATGAACATGAACAAAATTTGTCCACCAATATTGAAAAACACTAGAATCAAGACAGTGACTGATAAATGCCACCCAGACACAGGAGGTCTCCAGGCAGCAAGTAAACAAGGGCTAGTGAACACCACCCATTGTCTCTAGCCAATAATTCAAAGGGAACAAAGGGCCTGGCTCCTTCCATGCAGATGCCCTCACTCACTGACGATACTATCTGTGGCAGAATGAAAATCACGTGTAATTCACATCTTTACCAATCCACACACTGTCTTATTAGACAGAAAAAAATGCCATGCAGATGATCACTAAAGAATAAGGTGTTTACGCTTTGTTATGCAGAGCAACATATATACAGTCATGTTAACAGTTGCAAAAAATGTCCTTTGAGAGAGATTCAAAATGGTCCTTGAGAGTCCATGTGAGAGATCATCTTCCAGCAGCCCAGAAGCAGAAAATACAGAAACTATCTTGGCAAGCTCCTGCACAGAAAACCTAAACATGTAACTGTTGCCTAAAGTCCCAGGCTCAGCTATCTTGCTGGGTGTAGCCCAACCAATCCGCTAAGTGCTTTGCCTTTTTCAGTTTACAAACTCACCAACTGATTTTAACATGCTCCAACACTATCTTCATGGTTACTCACATGCTAATGGAT